GAATATAACTACCCAGAATAAGGTAATAATAGCCTATTAAACCCAAATTCTTCTCCTATAACAAAAGATTAATAATAATATTATATGGGATCTCTAGTTAGCCCTAATTAAGGCCTTTATAAGCCTAGCTTAGGAAGAAACCTAGTATAATAATATCTAGCTAGTAAATAAACTATTAAGTAAGAACCGAGAATTACCGAAGCTAGAAGAGCTATAGAATAAGGCAAGAAATAAGAAGGAAGATACTTAAATACTATAAGATAGCCTTTTCTTATAATATAGTAAACTATTTATATCTAATAATATAATAATACCCGAGATATCCTTATATATTACTCTTATTTAGAAGATATATATATAGCCCCTAATAGGATATCTAGGACAAGCCAAGCTTTAATAGCTTCTTTAGGCCTACTATTACTAGTTAGGCCAAGATATAAATATTAATTAGTATAGAAATAACTACTATATCTACTAATAATCCCATATCCCTAGAGATAAGAAGCCAGGGCTCTTATATCTATTACTAGTTCCTGACTATCTCTAGTAATATATATTAGTAAATTTTAAGAAGTATTTAGAGAATAGAAATAAGTATAATATAGTAGTAATCTTTATTAATTGCCTAAATAAGTATCCTATTATAATTCCTGTCCAAAATATAGTAATAGCTAAAGAATTAGTACTCTTATTCCTTATTTATATAGTTTACTAAGTTAGTATTCCGGAGACTATAGTATCTAATTAAGGCCTCTAGTTTATATTAGATTTCTAAAGCAAGTTCTATAAGTATATTAGTATAAAGCTCAAGTTATTAACTACTAATTATTTCCAAACTAATAGCTAGATAAAGATTATTAACTAGTATTTTAACTAATAGCTATATTCCTATATGAATTACTACTAGAATAATTGGGATAAATAGATAGTAATAATTAATTACTAGTAAATAGCTCTAGTTTATGAGACTATAGGCTAATTCCTGTTCCTTATAGAGAAGAACTATAAACTATAGATATTATTTAACTAGGAAACCCAAATATAATCGGGTATTTTAAAGAAAGAGCTAAATAGATAGGAGGCAAAGGCCCTAGTAATATAGCTCTATGAATTATAATAAAAAATATAGGAAAATATAATACAAGTATAAAAATGTTATATTATTTAAGCTAATAAATACCGCTAACTAATAGACTTTGGAATAGGAGATAAGATATAGATTATTACTAAGTACTAGAAGAATAATTATCCGAGCCATAAGCTAGCTTACTAAATAGAAAGACTATACAAAATCCTAGAATAAGTAAGATATTTCTTTAGGTTTAAGCTTCCGGAATTAATAAGAATATATCCGGTATTTTATATAGAAAAGCTATATAAAGACCCAGGTAATCCTCTTTCCGGATAAGCAAATCCGGAGCCTCTACTATTAGAACTATAAGACGGGGAAATAAAATATAAAGTTTAAGAGATATAAGTAGTAAAACTGCTTTATAGGAAGCTAAAGTACCGAATTTAGTAGAAAGAATAGGATCCAGATCCGGAATAGTATCCTGCTTCCTTATTAAGTAATAGTACCCTAGCTTTTTAGAGCTTCTATAATAAGAATCCCGAATAGCCAGGACCGTCCCAGAATCTCTCCTATTAGTTAAACTATACTAAGAATAATATATTACCGGAACCGTATAATATAAACGGAAATCCTTTAAAGTTATATATAAAAGGCCCTGGCCTTTAATATATAACCTGTAACTTGGAAATTTAATAGGGACTTTTAAAGCTCGGGGACGAGCTTACTTTAAGAAAAGGGGTAATATTATGGTTATTATAATATATAGTACTAGTAAGGGTTAGACTAGAGCTAGAGAGATATCTGGTATCTGAGTAAGGTATCTATAGTTACCTGATTATTATATGTAATCCCGAGCTTAAGCTAGTATATAGACCCGTATATAGCTTGCGATTATTTAGATCCGAGGCTTCTTTAGGATCCTCTTTTCTTTTTAGCTTTAAATCATTAAAATAAAGATAGTCTAATCATGCCTTCTAGGCCCTAGATCTTATACTTATAATACTTATTATTATATAAAATCTCTCTTATAATATAATAGAATAGCTAGAGTTTTATATATTTTACTAGCTCTTAAATAAAGCTTATAAAGATATATTTCCTATTTTTTACTTTACTATTTCTATTAAGATTAAAGAATCCTAAATTTAATATAAGAATATTATATAATAAGTTCTCTAATTAGTAATTTTATATATTTATATTTCTTTAAATATTTAAATTTCCCTAAATTACTTTCTTCTTTTAATTATTTATATCTATTTTATTTTATATAAGTTTAAGTATTAAAAGGTTCTTTTTATTCTTAAACTAGTTTATAGCTATTTAGAAGAAAAGTAATTCTTAGTTCTTTTTCTAGTTCTAGAAAACTATAGTATTATATAAAGGCTTAAAGCTATTATAAATAATAATACTAGAATTAATAGAACTCTTTATAAGGCAATTCAAGTATACTAAAAGCAAGAGCTTAATATAAAGTAAAATATATAGCAAATACAAATTCGCTATATTAGCTATATTAGCTATATTATTAATTTTATAATATAAGCTTTCTTATTTTCTGAATTAATTAAAATAGAGGAACTTGAAATATATAAATAATAGAAATAGATTTAAGAGATTAATAATAATAAGAGAAAGAAAGTTAAATTTAGGCTCTTAGATTTATTTAGTAAAATATATAATATTATAGCTTATATAGCTAAGTAAATAGAATTTATAAAGAGGATAATTCTAATAAATAATTATATAAGATAAAATAGCTAGTATAGAATACTTATTATTTTTATTAAGAAAATAAAGTATATAAATAAATATTACCGGAATTATAAGAAGAATTTTATAGAAGATTTCTTATTTTATAAAGACTAGAAAAAGCTTTATATAACTAGGGACTTTCTTATTACTTTTATATAAGCTATTTTCTTTATAGAAAAAGATATTATTTCTATTAATTATATATTCTTTATAATAAATATTTTAATTAAATATCTTTAAGAAATAATTATAAATCTCTTGCTTCTCTTTTTCTTCTTATATAAGCTTAGCTAAATATAATATAGGCTAAGTTTAAAAAGAAAAAAGATAATAAAAGTAAAGAGTTCCTTATATGGCTTAATATTATATATATTATATTTAATAAATATTATACTAGAATTAATCTCTTTTTCTTTTATATTATAGCCTTAATTCTTAATCCAGGCTTCTATATAAGATATATTAGGGCTAATTAATTAAAGAAATACGTAACTTTAATTCTTATAAATATAAAGAAATTTTGGGAATACTATAGAGATTAAATTATTTCTTTTTACTATTAAGTAATATTATTTCTTTCTTATATAGTAAAAAGCCATTTCAAGAGTTATTAATATTTAATTTCTTTAATTAGATTACTTATTCTCTTTACTTAATTATATAACCTATAAATAAAAACAAGTATAAAAATTATAACTCTCAGAAATTATATAATATTAGTAAGTAAGAGGCCTTAGTTTAGTAGAGCCAGAATATGTAAAGAAAGTACTAGTTAAGGCTCTCACTTATAGCTATTAATATTCTCTTAATTCCTTTAATAAATAATAAGCTAAAAAGAGTTTTTTTTAAAGGTATACTATATAGTAAACTAGAATAAAAGACAAATAGAAGTAGAGATAATAGAAATTAGAAAGTACTTAAAGTATTAGAAAAGAACTAGAATTTTATAAACTTTTTTTAAGACTAGCTAGTTTAAAAGAGATATATATCTTTTAAAACTCTTATATAATTAAAGAACCTTTTAGGTATTATCTAAATTTTCTAAATTTCCAAGCTATAACTCTTATTTAAAGACTATTTTCCTTGCTTTAATTTCCTTCTTTTTCTTTTATTAATATTATTACTACTTATATAAGAACTTCTTATTTCTTTTTATTTCTTATAATTATATTAAATAATTTAGTCTCTAGTAATAATTCCTTTATATAATTTCTTGCTTCTAATTCTGGTTCTATAAATCCAAACTAGTAGTAAGCCTCTAATTCTTAATTCTATCTATTATATAATAGCTAATATCTTTAAAAGCTTATTTCTTTTATTGCTTTTAGTACTAGTAATACTTCTAATCTTAATATAAACTAGCCCCTTTTTTAAAGCTAATAAATAATAGATATTATAGGCTAATAACTTATTTCCTTTATATAATACCTTATTCTTTATTATATAATAAAGCTAACTAAAGTATAATACTATAATAATTAATAATAATAAGCTCTTGCTTTTCCTGGCCAGAATATAATTATTAATCCAAATTATATTATAATTAGTTAAGTTCTTATATAGTAATAGTTCTATATTAATACTTTTTTCATTTAATAAGAAGGGATTAATATAATAGCTACTTCTTATACTATATATACTTATATAGAACTCAATAATACCATTTTCCTTAAATATATCTGGATTATAGATATATAGAGTAGTTACTATAATAATTACAAGTGGCCAGATTATACTGCAAGCTATTACTAGAAAGGAAATAATAATAGTAATAATAGTAATAGAGAGATTAGTATAGGAGATTATAGAGGATATAATGGATATAGTAGATATAGTAGAAGTAGTAGGGGTGTCTATATAAAGCAAGAACGAATTATATAATATGGTATAGTAAGAAAGACTTCTTATAGTAGTAGAGTTACTTGCAGTAGTACTGCGGCTTAATAAAGGCCTTTCTGAGGTTGTATAATGGTTTTTAGCCTCTTAATAGCATAATTAATGGAAGTCTTTGCAAAATAACGAGAATCTACAGGGATTAGCTTGCTTAGGAACGATTGGAACGTTCCATTACCGCCCGTTCCAGACCCCTGGAACGAATCGGCAGAAACCAATTGGTCCGGAATATCGCCAAGCCTGGTGCGATTTCAACAGCGACGGGCCGTTTCGAATATTCGACACAGGCTCTGCGGAAGCATTTGCCCGTATTCACAGCTGGTTCTCAACATGCCACAGTGATCAACATGCTCGCTGTAGCAAAGGAGAGCTCACATCGTTGCCAAAGCGGGTTCTGGACGTGTCTTCTGAAACTGTAAGACTCTACGAAACACGAGGCGAACTTGCAAAATATGCTTGTCTCAGTCATTGCTGGGGCAAGCAACAAATTATCACCACTACCAAGGCAAGTATCCCTCGACATCTTCAAGCCATTTCCTGGGACGCGTTATCAAGAACATTTCAAGGCGCCGTGACGTGTGTGCGCCGTCTAGGTCTCAATTATCTCTGGATAGATTCACTCTGTATCATTCAAGATATGAGGAGCGACTGGGTTGACCAGTCCCCCCTCATGGCAGACTACTATTCAAAAGCACACATTACTATTGCAGCCACAGCATCTGCCGACAGTGCTGGTGGCTTGTTCAGAAAGTGGCCTCAATTGGAATTTACTGGAATCACGACCGAGGGTTCGCCATCACAGGTGATTGTTCGGAGGATGCCAGAACACCTTTTCGAAAGTTTCATCCTGGATCCATTCCCCCTGCTCAGCAGGGCTTGGGTGTATCAAGAGCGGTTGCTATCAGCGGCCGTGTTACACTTCGGCCCACAGGAGCTGAGTTGGGAATGCAAAGAAGCATCGATATGCGAGTGCGGCTTCGCTAGTGCACATAAACCTATGTCTCAGCAAAGGATAATGTTGGGCCAGAAGATCAAACCGAGCGAACTGCCCCTAAACTATGTCGGCGACACTGAAGCCCTCCGCAGGAGCAGCCTTTGGCACCGAATGGTCTCCGATTTTTCAGACCTTGAGCTCACGAAGTACTCTGACCGTGGAGCGCAACGGTACCCAGCCGAACTCAACGTATTTTGATAGGCCTATGTCGGCATGTGAGGGTGCGACCTCTGTGCTCAAACCAGGGGACCTGGTTTGGGGATTGCTCATGACAAGCAAAGAGCTCCGAGCTGTGGATAAGACAGAAGAGATTTCGCTAGTGCTTCGTCAAGTGGAACCCCAGGGCATAGTTTTTGAGCGGATTGCTTTTGCCGCCTTATTTGTAGAGAATGTTAAGGGGAGCCCGCGAAGCGCTGGTATGACGGGGTTCAGCGTCGGGTCATCACCATCAAATGATGGGCCGATTGTGCTACGAATAAGGATATTGAAGAAATATTACAAGACGAACATGAAGAAGTCATTGGCTGCTAGTTGAAGATAGAAAAAAGATTCTAGAGGGATCCATCCTTATTAGAGCTAAAATAGGACCCGCCCCTAGAGAAAAGATGAGGAAAGTATAACCTGCAAATATAAAAATAGCTCTTTAATATATATATGCTTAGTCTTACTTAGTGTGTGCCCAGGCGGTGCGCAGGAGCACTCGCCCTCGGCTTAAGCTTGCTTACTCGTAGCTCAGACTAAAGCAGCAGCAGCTAAGGTCTAAAGCCAGAGATGGAAAATGTCATGGAAAACATTCTAGTGTGGTTCTACCTGAATCGGTTTCAACTATGCGGGTGCATGGTCAACTATCAGATCAGCCAAATACAATGAATCAAGAGAAGAGCACATCACATGGACGAGTATTTAAAATGGTAAACAAGAAGTGCTTTTGAGCCGCGGATCTGATTGATTTAATCCTTCCCACATTATCTCTTCCCCACCTCCTCACCCCTCCTCTCAACCCCTTCCCCAACTCTCTCCATCCCATTCAAACACCCAGCGCAGCATTCCACGCAGCCGCCGTACTCGCGTCCCTCGTCCCCAGCGCCGCAATTTGCGCCTTAGCAGCCAAACACGCTGTCTCGCCCGCCGAATCCTTCGCCACCCCGCAATTGTTAATCAGATTGTTGCAAATCGCATTCGTAATAATGTTGGGGTTGAGAGCGTCTTGCTGGCCTTTGGCCACGACTGGGTCCGTGGGCAGGAAGGTGCCTTCGGTTGCTTTGCGGTTGAATTGGGCGCGGCCCAGTTGGAAATCCATTGCGGGGGAGCAGGTGCCGAAATCGCTGGATGAGACGGAGGCTGTGGTGTTTGAGGCGGCGGCGGCTTGTGAAGCAGAGGAGGAAGCGATGGGGGCGGCGGCGGGAATGCATGAGGCGGTTGCTGTGGCCGCGAGGAGGAGAGCGAGGAGGATGCTTGGGGTTTGCATTTTGGCTTTTTATTTGGTTACTTATTCGTAGATATAGAAATGCAAAGAGGGCAGCGTGTGTCAAGACCAGCTCGCGGTTGAAAGTTTCAAGAAATAATGAGAAGATAGTCCACGGAACTATGTTTGTAAAGAACGAGAGATCTACTCTGAAGAAATGAAGGTGTTTGGATGAAGGAATGAGAGAATGAAGTTGCAAACCCCAAGGGGTGAAGTGTCTTATGTACTTGCTCCACCGGTCAGATGAGGTGCAAAGAACTGAGGATCACATCACAGAAGACACGCCGCCAAGCTGTTCAAGCGCTGGAGAAAACTTCATCCGAACGAGTTGGCAGAAGCCAAGAATCAATGCAGATGTCACTCCCTCCAGGTGCCTCATTCCCTTCCACTCGGCAGGCCCCCTCTACTAGCGCAACAGCGATGTTGCACGATCACGTCCCAAATGTCGCAATCTCGATCAGAACCAGACGAGAACGAAACATGAGACGAAAGGTGAAGGTTTAAGCGCCGCTTGGTGCGTTTCCGATCAAGAAGATTGGGTTTGATAGACAGGGTTGAGACAGCGCGGTGGCGGGTCGGATCTCGGGTGTGTTTCGTGATGGGGCCCAGGTGCTTGGGAGGAGGCTTGGCTGAATTGAGGGTTCATCTCATCAATTACCTCACGAAAGTTAGATTGAATTTTGTTCTATGAAAGGGCCCGGCAATGCGGGAGATTGAAGTGACGTAGTGTTTCGGCAAAAATCAGCTCAACCGCTTCAGATTGAAGTAGTCCAGCACTTGATCTCTGTCAGGACAGTATCATCATTGCAAAAACGGTCACGAAAAGGAAGATGGACCCTTTTTTTCATCAACGCTTTGAATTGCTATTCATACAATAACTCTGTGCTACGCTTGAACGCTCTCGTGGTATCCTTTTGATTTTTCCTTAGCAGAGGGTCTCAAAAGATCGAAGGATCCCTGAATTGGAAGAACCAAAGAACGCCGCGCTATGCTGATTCCTTCGGTTCCATTTGTTGCATTGTTGTGCTTTTGAAGGCATTGCCTCAAGAAATTAGAGGCCGTGGCGGTACTTGCTGTCCCGCATTCAAGACTCTTGTGAGTCTCTTATCGTGAGAATCCAAACTCAACAGTACTTCATCAAACGTGAGTACGGTCCACTTCAAAAAGCAGCACCCCCAACTCCCTCGCCTGCTAACATTCTCACATGTCGTTCACTCAGCTCACTCCGGAGCCCCATGCTCTGGCTATCCCGACTTAACTTATCCCACCCCTTCAATCCTTGCCTCAGTTTCTCTTGCTTGGCATGTAATTCCTCTCTCAGTATCTCTGCTTCTTCCTCCTTTCTCTTCAGTCGAGCTGCAATTTCGCTCGGAATGCCTGAAGCCGTGGGATCGAGCCTGCCACCAGGAATTATTTGCGGAAGATTGGCCATTGCGGGGTGAGGACGTGGGCCTGAATTAGTGGACATTGCAGCATTCGGACGAGAATTGTAAACGCTGGAAGAATGTTGAAGAGGTGGGCGAGAAGGAACTCCTGCTCGTGGGCCAGTTGGAATGCCTCCGGATGGGCCTGTGGGGACGGTTGCCGCTGGACCAGATGGTATTGACGGCGACGGCGATGGGGCTGGGCGACTCGTGAGAGTGACACCTCTCGCAGGGGCTTCTGCGGCAGGCCGGCTTGGTGGTGCAGCTCCCCACGAAGAAGTATCTGGACGGCTGATGCGATCACTACCGAATCCACCTCTTCCGCCGCGAATACTGTAGGCGCCACGAGCTGGGGGAACATATCCTCGAGGACCAGATGGAGGAATAACAGGACCAGCATTTTCTGATCTGCTATGAGCAGACGTCGAAACTGCTGTGTGGCTGGAAGCAGAAGGGGAAGGTGCGATGAAATTCCGACCGCCACTTGGTCCAGTAGGCGCACGAAAGCCAGCTGGTCCTCTCGGTGGAGATCTCTGGGCTACAGGGCGTACTGGGGAGCGTTCCCGTGGTGTCGATCTGGCCGAGTCCCTATCTTTGTACGCAAGCTGGGTTGGAGGCGAGCGGTCCCGTGTTGGGGGAGAACGAGGTCTAGAGTCTCGCATTGCGGTTTGTGTTAGGTGTAGTCGCTCAGGATGAATTGGGGGCGAAGAACGTCGCGAGGTGTTTCCAGAGGTTCTCTCTGATGATCTTTCTGAATCTCGCGCCAGAGAGGGTGAGCGGCGCCTCCAGTTTGAGGAACTTGGGCCTGTTAGTGCACGCTCATCACGACGCTCAGGACTTCGGGAACGTCCACGGTATGAGGCTCTAGGACCGGCTGGTGGAGACCTTCGGGATAGGGGAGATCTGGCACGAGGCACAGGACGATCACGATCGTAAGGGGATCTAGATCTTCTTCTGATCATCTTTTAGTACAAGCGAAAGAGTTCGGGCGGAGGACACTGTACCTTTCATCACGTCTGGCTGGTGACCTTGCTCTCCGATCATCGTCTCTTCGTGGAGAGAATCTTCTCGGTGGCGTTCGTGCACGAATTGGAGATCTTGCTCTTGCTCGCCAATTGTCTCTTACAGGAGAGCGATCTCTTCGAGGCGGTGTTCTCGATCTGCGGCGGGGAGAACGGTCTCTGCTGCTTGGGTGCCAACTATCGGTTGGGGGTGTTCGAGCCCGTTCTCTTCTCGGTGATCTGTCCCTATCTCTGCCTCCTCGAAACGAATCGATTCTGTGTGGTGAGCGTGGGCGAGCCGAAGGTCTGTACGGTTCTCCGCCGCCGGGCCTGTAGGATTCTCCTCCTCCCATAATCGTCACTTCCCCCTCTCCTCTAAAAGAAATATTGGTTAGCAAACTGACATTCTCCAACAATTGAGCATGATTCGTTGCGCTGGACACTAGCCGCATGCTGCCTCGAACTGGGGCATTAGAGCTAAGGATAGCATTAGAGATCGAGCCTCTCGACTGACGTGCCACATCTTCCTTCTCACTGCTCGTGCCGCTCTGTTCAGGCGCATCGCCATCAAAGGATTGGTGTGGGTGTGCGATTGTCCAGAGATTTGAACCCTCACCCGACTCTGTTGATGATTGTTCCTGGCCGCGTGAGGACGTTGACATTGGGGCGCGGTTTGATGAGAACTGACTGGCATCTATGCTATCAGATTCAACCGTTGAAGAGTTAAGAGGACGCCCATTTGTCCAGGAACTTGGACTCTCAGCTGGTCCTGTTGACGATGGGACCCGGCCATCTGTTGCTGATTGTCTCGGTGATGGGTAGAACACTGCGATTGGGGTGCGATAGGCCGGGATTGGCCGATCGTTCATGTCATCACTGCTAGGCATTGAAGATTGAAGAGGACCTCCATTTGTCCAGGAACTTGGCGGTAAACGTGGCGGTAGCCTTGGTGAGGACTCTACGTCCGAGACGACACCCGCTACGGTAGGGACCGCATCTTCGTCAAGTTGATTTGGACTGTGCACGGGGGCAGGCGGGTCATCTGTTTGACTAGCACGTTGGCGAGATGCCGGCAGACCGGTCTGGAGCTCGCGCTGGGTTCTTTCCATTGATCTTTCCATAATCCTTTGCATACGGCCCAACAACTCTTCCCGTCTAGAGGGTTGTGGAATGTTTGGTATTGTGTTCAACATTCGACGAGGAACACCAGGAACACCAAGATCATCGGGAACTTCGAAGTCTTCCGCCCTTTGACTAGGAGAACCAGGATGTTCGAAGTTTTCCCCCATTTCCTCTAGACGTGATGATAGACGTGATGCCCTTTCACGCGAAGCCCGCCGAAGTTGGCCTCCTAAGTCATTGGCGTTTGAAGCTCTCTCCCGCGGTGGAGTGACTGTTGAGGAAACTCTATTTGCCGAGTTCTGGTTCGATTGAATTGAGGCAGGCCTCCATCCACCGGCATTCCTAATAGACCCCTCATGAACAGACATGGATTCAGCAGGATCTGCCGCCCCATCAACGAAACCATTGGCTGCCCTTCGTGATTCCAGGCATTGTAGTCTCAGCCTCAGCATTTCCGCGAATTGCTCGTGTTGTGTGAGCATGTTCTGCAGCGAGGCTATTGATTCCTCAGCGTTTGCAAGATTCTGGTCAAGAGGCGGTCGTTCAGCTAAGGTCTGGTGAATGATGCTTTGGGCATCCTCTTGAGATGGGTGTGTTCTACCCCTATGCAGATGTCTGGAACTGAGAGCTGCCCCTCTACCTCGCCAACGATTGTGCGATGACTGAGATCCACGAGCTGCCGCCGGGACTCGACTGCGAGGCGACAAATCACCACTGACCTTCGACTGGGTACCTGAAGATGTTGCTGGTCTTTGGAGTCCAGAAGGATTTGAACGGCGCGGTCTGCTGAAGTAATCACCTGAATATCCTTCCTCGGCGGAGACAGTCGTATCTCCACTGGCCATCGCCGGCTCTTGACTACTACTGAAAACAGATTCACGTCTATTGTCTTCTTCTGACACGGGGTCGGTAGACCTAATTCTGCGATCATGGGTGCCGTCGATGCCGTGATTACTTGACCTCGGTCGATTGGGCTCGAAACTTTGAATGGGGTAGATAGACCTATTAGGCGGGTGATGAAATGTGCCAAGAACCGGTCCAGAAGGCGCAGAAGGTCCAGGTTGGTTGACTGGAGGATTGTTGGGAGCTTCACCCGAAAGATCTCGAACTATGCGACTCAACCTACTGTTTGGGTTCGATAACCGCCCTTCGAATTCTTCTCGAAGACTCTCCGTGGCGCGTAATACCTCGTCTGGGTTTTCTAATCGTGCTTCGAGGTCTTCTCGAAAAATCCCGGGGATGGATTGTATGAAACGGTCCCGGAGAACTGCTTGCGGAAGTGGCCGTTCAGCCTGTGATAACAATCCCCTGAGGGTTCGAGTTGCAACCTCTTCGAGTAACCTTTCAGCAAGCATGTGTTGTGGACCCACGAAGCGTTCTATTGGGGCAGAAACTATCGGTAGCGTGGGTTGTTGCCCTGTCGGCGAAGGTTCTTTGTTGTCGTCATCCGCAGGCTTCTGGTTTCCTTTATTCTTGGCCTTCTTCTTCTTTTTGGACTTCTTGGGCTTTTTTGAAGGCACAGGAGGTTCCGGTGGACGCGGCGGATCCGGTGGTGCTCCATCTCCAGCAGCAGATTGCCCCATCGCCATGGGTGGCATCTTGTCCTCACTTCCTCGCAGCCTCCTGCCCTTCGTTCGCCGATCTCCTCCCCAATAAAAATGCACAATAAATATGCCGTCTCCTCGATGCTCCGTAACTCTGCGTGATGCGCAGAACTCCCAATCCGAGTGCTGCGGGCTAGAAATGAAATGAATGGATAATGAAAAGGAGAAACCAACCTTCGATCTCGACCGCGTTCTCTGTCCATCTTGCCTGAACTATGTTGGCCCCTTGGCCGTTCTTTCCACCTATGCAGGACTTTGTGCTGGTGTTTTTGGAGGAAGGAAGATGCTGGGTCGCGGTGGGAGTCGCGCCTGCGGTTTTCAGCGGCCGGGTGCAGCGAAAAATTGCGTGGCGTTGCTAAATCGTCGATAGTGACAGGTTTTGGTTTCCAAACAAATCTTTTGGAAGTCGCGATGTCGAAGCGGCCGCTAGCGCTCATCCACGCGTGTCACGTGCAAAGGGAGGATGATGAGTGATAAACTTCTTCCGATCGACGTGTCCATTTTTGTTTGATATTACACCTATCCCTGTACAATTGTGAAGCCCAGCTGCCCTCCCTGTAAACGCCAGTTGATGCTCCCCATCTTCAACGCCTAAAATCTGTAGCTTCGCTCTCTCTTTTCGCCTCTCTTCTCCTCGTCGCGCTTCTGTCTCTTCCGAGACTCTTGCGCAATCATATCATCCAAGCTCTCTTCCCTTTGCCACGCACTTTTCTCCTCTTTCTTCGATTGTTCGAATCTACGCTTCTTTTCCTCATTACTGATTCCATCCTCTGAAATCAGCGAATCGGGGTCGAGAGAAACGTCCACATCACCAGGCTTCTTGCGTTTCCTGCTCTCATCTTCTTGGCCAAGGACCGGAAGATTTGCATTCTGTGCGCCACGGACATCATAAGCTCTCTCACCACCAAAGAAACCTTCAGCACGGATTTGTCGCTCAGGTATAACGGTGTAAGCTGATCTGGGGGCCGAAGATTCCTCTGTCTCGGTGCCTCTCTTCTGCTTCCGGAGGTCAAAGTCGCCGCCAACACTCATGTCGCCTGGGTATTCGGATGGTACTGTTGAAGCCATTCCACCGGGAGTTTCCAAACCACTGGGTGTCTGAAGGCCGGCACCAATATCTTCCTCGTCGCCCTCTTCTTCCTCCTCGTCACTCTCTTCCTCTTCCGATTCTTCTTCTGGTGCTTGCAATTCTCCCCAAAGTGTTCGCTCAATAGGCTCGCCAGCTTGGTTGTTGACCTGGGGTTGCAAAACACCGAAGATATCACCACCATAAAGTGGTCTATTGAACTCGTCAACAGGAGGCTTGCCGTATCCACCAGGATGGAATCCCCAAGCGCCGCCGGGTGGAGGTGGCGCATTCAATCCTGGGATTTTGAGTGAGGGGTAAGATGGGGGAGGACCGAATCGTTGCTGATTGATCAACCATGGTGGTGGAGCTCCAGGTGGAATATTGAGGGCTTCTTTCAACTCATCGCTCAACTCTCCAGGACGTAGATGCTTTAAATTAGTCTCGTACTCCTTGCCCTCGTAATAGACCTCACCATATCGAGTCAATTCTGGCTTCGTTTGGCGGACAAAAAATGCTTCGTAGAGCTTTTGATAATCGATGTCCAGCTTGCCCATCTTCGGTTGAACTCTTTCTCGTTGCTTCTGCTTCAAACTGGCTTCGTTTTGCTTCTCCAACACTGCATCACGCATTTCTGCAATTCCAGTCTCTTGGATGAATTTCGGTAGAGCAAATGGAGCCTTCTCCACACCGCGCTTCGAGGATAGATATTCGCGCTTCAATGACCAATGGCTTGGTACTGGAACGACATTTCGATACGACTTGATGTGGACGAGTAATCGTGGGTCGGAAGCCGATGTGTCAGTCCAGTCCACGAGCTCTGGCTTTTGGACCAAAGCCTTCAATTCCGCCACAGATAGCTTATCCCGCTCCTTTCTCTTCTTCTTGGACAGCTTCCCCTCCTTATCGCCCTCTTCCTCCTCCTCAGGGATATCATCGTCATCATCGAAGAATACTTCTCCTTTCTCACCAGCGTTTGCTTCCTTCGCAGCCTCTTCCTCTTCCGCACTCGTACCAAATTTATCCATAATGTCCTTGTACATCGCATAGTTGGGATCATCTTCGCTAATGTCAAGGGGCGCAACTTCTGGCTTTAGGATATCTTCCTCTTCTTCGTCTTCAGTTTTCGATGGCGCAGCAGCAGGCTGAGGAACGTGCTCAGGTGCCTTTTCAGGCTCTGGAGTCGGGGTGACCTGCAAGTCTGTTAGCTACTCATCGCAAATATCCTCGTGCTGCCCATGACTGACCTGTTGCGCCTGTTTCTGTTCCTTCTTCTTCGCTCGTCGCATCTGGTTCTTGGTCATCTTCGGAGCCATCTTGACAGCTGAAGGCATAGCGCCCAAGACACCCAGAAATACAGTGCGTCAATTTCTGGTGTCCTCGAAATCTCGATGCCGCGAGATTGTCGAAAGAAAGCCTTTCGTCGTGGTGTTGTGAGGCTGTCAAGGCAGTCTCTAAATTTCGAGGTCGAAGTTAGTGATCCTCGAAAGTCGCGATTTTAGCTGCGGCAAATGCCGTCGAATTTTCGACATCCCCTGCGCCTCGTATCAAACAAAGATCACATAATTCCAACAAGACTGCCTTCAGCACACTCTCCGTGGACTGTCCGTGATCAATGCAGTTGGAATTCGGGTCTCCCCATACACTGCGATAACGATGATCTTGCCATATGGAACATACTCTCGGTGAACACCTTCGCAATGCCTCACTCGACTCGAGAACCATCCCTCAACTGTGTCAGCTCCAAATTCCCCATGGACACGAGGGGCAATCGTCGCACTTCGATGGAGAAGTTTCCGGATCATGTTGACCCCCTTGACGGGCAGTCTCCACACCAGTCAAGTCCCATTGTACCAAGCAATGGATTTATCGGTGGACAGGTTTCGGCGGATCGATGGCAGCCCAGGAGAGACAGTGCGTTAAAGGGGTCTGGATGGGCGAATGGTCATACGGGAGGCCATAGTAGACAGAAGAGTCTGAGTGATGCGTTCAAGACAATACGAACAAGGAGGGCAAGCGTCAGTGCCAATGTGCATGAAGTTGCGGATGCGTTAAAGGCGCCAGTCTCGCCCAAGTTAATTGTTCGTGAACCCCTTCCTGTCCCCCCTCACCTGAGAATTTCTCATCCTGATTGATGTGTAGATACTTTGCATTATTTGGTATCTGTCTAGTGCTCTTACGAACACCTCCTCGAAAGCCATCCTCAACGCCTTCCCTAAACCCGCAACACTCACTTTGATCCAATTCGCATTCGTTGCCTCCTTGTGCATATTCTTTTCATGGCTGGCAACCATCTTCCCTATGTTGCACAAGCATATCGCAGCCCTGCGCCACCCTATACGTTATCCTACACGGGAAATTATAATGACTACGCTACCTCTGGCGTTTTTCACACTTGGAGGACATCTCCTCTCCTCCACAGCAACCTCTAAAATCCCAGTCTCCTTGGTTCACACGATAAAGGGACTTTCACCACTCTTCACGGTGGTCGCATACCGAGTTACATACGACATTCGCTATCCAATAGCCACATACATCTCCCTGGTACCCCTCACCCTCGGGGTAATGCTCGCCTGTTCCGCAGAGTTCAAAGGAAATCTCTTCGGGATTCTCTATGCATTTCTTGCAACTATAATCTTCGTCACTCAAAACATATACTCGAAGCGTCTGTTCAATGAAGCAGCCATAGCCGAATCCTCAGGAGCTCAAACGAGAAAACTTGACAAGCTCAACCTTCTGTGTTATTCGTCCAGCTTAGCATTCTTAATCACAGCGCCAATTTGGTTCTGGTCCGAAGGAATTGAGATTCTACAAGATTTCTTGCGTGATGGATCCCTCGACTTGGCAGAAGGTACTCCACACCTTCCAGCTTTTGACCACGGACGGCTTGTCCTCGAATATATCTTCAACGGAACCTTCCACTTCGGACAGAACATCATAGCATTCATCCTCCTCTCCATGGTCTCACCAGTTACTTACTCCGTCGCTTCGCTCATAAAGCGCGTCTTCGTGGTCGTAATCGCCATAATCTGGTTCCAGAACCCCACAACCAAGATCCAAGCCCTCGGGATCGCTCTCACATTCTTCGGCCTATACTTATACGACAGGACGAAAGAGAGCAACAAAGCAGATCGCAAAGCCAAGATGATGGACATCAAAGAAGAGTCCATCCTCCCCCTCTCCAACATCCCTGCGAACCGTGCCTCGCCCCCAAGTTTCGAAACCCCAGGGCAGAGTTATGCAAATGGGTACGCAATTAACCTAGAAGCGAAGAAATCAGATGAGTCATCAGGAAGAGAAGGACGAAAAAGAGGCGTGAGCAGTGCGGCCTGGCTGCCTCCTGGAACAAGGCAAGAAGAGACGTGGCGCCCGAGAGAGTTGCACAGCAATGCTGTGAATGTAGCTGTAGGTTAGGTCATCATTGGGTTAGATGGGATTCACATATAGATGGGCTTGTACAAGAGAGCATGCTCTGGATGGCGTTCTGGATTTGGTGTATCATAGAGAATTGAGAGACTTCTTGATGCTGTCTCCCCATCTCCGCTAGGAGTGTTGGGCTTCTTAGATCCTGAATACTGCTCTCTCCATATCGTAACGAATTTGACTTGAGGATAGCTTTCAAGTGAACGCTCGAAATATCTGAGCCTCTCTTGTTGCATGTCTGTGCTACTTTCTGAGCCTTCGATGGAATTTAACCTTGTCCTGCCAAGCTGCTTTGACCGCCTCCCCCGCCCCACCAGCCCTTTGATTGGCCGCCACACTTGAAGCTTTTAACATACTACTCTTACTTAAGATATGGTCCTAACCTCGGGAAAACTGCCATTAATTCTATAATATATTATTTCAGGATCCAATCAATACGGTAACACTATTAACATCAATAGAACGTTGTGGGATAGGAGTACAAAAAAGGGGTCGTCGAGTCTCGAAGCACGTGGTACGCCACTTGATATTGAATCACGATTGTCAAGGCTGCCAGCGGCTCAAGACCCGTAGACTTCACCCCAACACTTAAAGGGCTGTGTTCCTAGCTATACGGTGGATCACCTTGAAACTGCAGTGTCGAGATATTTGACATGCCTGTGCCTTTCGGCTTTGGTACCAGCGACTTCATCGCTGTGGGAGGGCTGATTGCGAAGGTCGTCCAAGAGCTAAAAGAGGCAAGTAGCCTTCTTTAAAAACGGACCATTCGTTTCTTCTTACTAACATAATTGTTCAGAATGGAGAAGCATCAAGGAATATCAGCAGCTGCTTCTGGATCTAGGGATCCTCTCTAGAGCTCTGTCCCGCCTCCAAAGCTTGAAATCAGAGTCACGTGAATTTACCCACCTCGAATCGATACGAGCCGCTGCCTTGAGCTGCCAGATTCCACTCGAGAGATTTTTACAGAAGATCGAGAAGTTTGACCCATGTCTAGGGATATGGAATTCTCATTTGAGAAGTGTGGGGAGGTTTACGAGAAGAATGCAGTGGCAGCTGATGTACAAAGACGATGTGAGAGACCTTCAAGTCGCGCTCGGGGGTCAAATAGCCGCGATCAGCATGCTTTTAATGGTTCAGACGACGTTAGTACCACCTCAAGGCGGGGTCCTCATTTCAAAGTCACTCGTGACTGATGGGTAACACATTAGTGAGAGTGTGACTGCACACCACAATTCGACTGATCAGGATTCGAGGCAGATTCTTGAAGCTATCGATAAGCAGACTCAGCACTTCGAAAGCTGCTCTCGTAGCTTGGAGGGTCTTCATCTCAAAGCAGATTCCACTAACAATCAGGAACAAACATTACAGACATATCATGCAGAAGTTCAAGAGATTGGCCCAAGGCTACTCGAAATTCGAGACCAGTCCTCGACCATCCAAGAGACAACCCAAGAGACATCTCAACAATTATTGGTCGTTACTCAGCAGAACTCATCTTTGTTATCCAGCATGACTAGATTGCTGTTCATGATCACGTCCGGAATGCTCACCCTGCACTCCTTGCGAAAGAAGGTCTCTGACCTAGTTCAACTATGGTCAACTTTCACGGCAGAAATGCGAAATTTCTCGAAGCAAACACTGTAAGTAGAATCCCAAAGCTCCTTTTTATTGACTAATAAGAATTTCTGCAGACTAATGTTTGCACAAATACACGAGGCTCTCAGCCGGATCGAGGGGAATCTGCCCAAGAGCATCATGCTACCAAGTGTTTTCTTCCAAGATCTCTGGGGAAACACTATGTACGTCCCGTTGCAGATATGCCAAAGCTTTAAAGTGAGTCTATGCAACACGCTCAAAAATACTTGACTGATGGTACCCGTTATTTAGTCCCTTCACACTTTCATTGGCATTCTCTTGGATGGAAAAGCGGAAAGGTGGTTTATCGAGGCTGGCCACTACGGCATCATAAGGACCCGAACCCGGAGGAGAATCACTTCATCACAAGCAATAAACGCAGGCGATCAATTGGCAATGGCAGTTATACTTTGGAATCTGCCCTTGGACCGGCACCGTCCTTTCCCGAATTTTCGTATTCCATTTCCTCTCATGGATAATCAGCAAAACAGAGCGCTCATATGGTATGCTTCGCCGCCATGAAGGAAGCTTCCTGCTAATCAGGTTGCATTCTAGTTCTGAGTGCCATAGGTGGTTAGCTGTTGCCTAGTGCGGCTTGAGTGCGGAGACCGCACTCCTCGCCCTTGAGCTGGCGAGATACTGAGTTGGAACGAACTTCAGAAAAATCTGAGAACTGCGAAGGGGGTGAGCAGGAAATAGAGTCGTACCGTCAAATCTGCATAAAATGGGAAGAAGTTGTGTATTTACGGAACAGGCTATTCCCAGCGCAAATCTGTTCAGTCTCGGTGGGTGTTAACCTGTGGAAGTGAACTTCAAGAGCAGCAGAGCGTTCTTGGCTGAAAGCGGCTAACCCTTGATACAGTTCCGACAAGGGAAATTAACTATTGGTGTTCCTGAATATTTGACTCAGGTCTGTCTCGATCCCTGTCCTTTTTTTTTTGTCATCTCTGGTGATTTTTTGTAACTAGGAAGTGCTTGATAAAGCTCGGGATCGTTATTATTACTAGCAATTGAAAGAGTATGTCAGAATGGTCCAAGAGAGCTCGTTAACGACTCAGCCTTGCGCGATTTTCTATTGTGACGATAGAAAGCGCTGAGCAGACAGCTGCTATTGCAACCTTGATGTGATAGAAGCATATATACATAGAGCCGAATGAGAGTTCAAAAGTATCGGTGTCGGATTAAATTATTGTAGCCAAAGGATTCGAGAGACATCTCTCAAGAGGGATTCAGGGGTCTCAACTAGTCCTATATATGGGCCTCCCAAAGATTTGTAAGATTGGACCAGATACTAGATAGTAATAGTGAAATAAGATGCTTTTGTAGAAAGGAAGGGAAAGAGGAGCATAGTTGCTTCTCAGCAGCTATTTATCTCGGTACAGTGTTCTGAGCTTAGAGGTTTCAAGTAGAAATCCAATATATGGTATTTACTTATGGCATATTACGCATGTCTGCATGTCTAAGGTCTTGTAAATTTTGGGACATTGGATTTCATACTCTGTCTCTATCCGCAACTCTAGTATTAAAGAAAGAAATTATTAAATTCTATCTCCAAAGATCACTGTCTTATATACAACAAGCACCTCCTAATAAAGAGACCTGCCTATGGCTCCTTACCTAGAACTATGCCTTTAGCAGATTCCCGTTCACCTTTCTATTAACAGTTGTTGAACACACCAAATTCACCTCGTCACTACCTTCGTCATCGCCTTCGTTAGCGCATCTAATAATGCCTGCCGCCTTTCCTTCTAGGGAAATCACATTTCTTTACTGCAAGTCGCAATCTTATAGTATTTACTAGAAACTTTATCCCTCTACACACATTACTATATACTATATACTCTATATACTCCTAGGATTCAAGCTCAATTATTGCAGATCGCAGTACTAACAGAGACGGGGAGGGTTTTGAATAGAAACTGTCCGCATTACTGTGAAGATCCCTTATAAAATTTTACAAAAGCAGTTTATATCTTCACTCAGATCCTTTAAAGACATTGAAAGTTAGACAGAGTCATGAGCCAACTAAGACATCGAAATGAGTTTGAAAGTGCAAAGATCTTCTGAATGAATGTTAGGATCGTTCTTCCGGCACCCCGGTACATTCAACCTCTTTGTGTCGGAAAAGATCAGTTCATTGTTCCTCACAAGCCGGTAATCTTTTAGATTAATTCAGAGAGAAAGTAAATTCATTCCATGCATCTTTTACTTCTTTTGTAAGATTATAAGTTACAAGCTGGTCGTTTCCTTCGCATTTGATTTGCCAGCCATAATGTACACACAAAGGTAAGCCTCGCCGCAATTGCAAACCGCAAGCAGCAAAGCTAACGTCCTTTCTTATGAGAGAGGCAAAAGAAAAGCCTCTATTTCCATCTATCCATCCATCGTATGCCTATGCGTTTTCATGATACAACTCCCCGCCCCATCTATCCAGTCCATGATATGCCCCTCCTTTCATAATACAACCCCGCCCTTCCATGTCCAAGCCACGCAAATGCACAATTTAGCCTCCGGTCATATGCTCGGATGCCCTCCTCAACGCCACAGAAAAAACAAAAATGCAAGCGTAATAACACAGATGTACAAGAAGTAAAGTAGTCGTAAGCAAATCACCAAGCATAGCCACCACCACCACCACCAATATCATCATCATCTCCATCCCAATCCTCATCACCACTCGGCTCCGCATCCAGGAAATCCCTCTCGGTGACCTGGTTCTCCGTTGGTCTGAGATTATCGATCCTGACTTCAACAACCTCACACATGCCTTGGATAACTTCCCGCTCGCGTCCCTTGCCCTTCTTGGAGACCAGGAGCTTATCATCATCCGATGAATCATCGTAGGATTTGGGAGAGGATGTGAGGTCGGGAGTGTGTATTCCAGCCGTTGCATGCAAGACCTCAAGCTCGCGCTCGAATTTAGATCGACGGCTGGCTTCGCGGGCGGAGATGCGGGTTCCTGCCTCAACTGGGTCCTCGGCTTCGGAGTCAGAGGATTCGGCGTATTTTCCTGGTTGAGGTTGACGGATGCGTGTTGAGCGGCGGGTTGGAGGGGAGCCAGCTGAGTTGACTTGAGGAGAAACACTGCTGGAACTGGGAGCAGTGGCTGGCCAGAAACAGTGGGACTTGGGCTCCTCTTTAACAACGGCATCTGCTTTAATGGGCTCCGTCTTCTTGTCGAGAGTCAACTGGCCCATTGCGCGTTGGACAGAGGCGTGTTCCATGGGAGGTTCAGAGACTCGCTTGAAGACGCGTGCCAATGACCCAACCCACTTGTCGCGGAATGATGCCCTGTCACGCCAGCCAATGTTCAGAATGGCTTGAATGGTCAAACGGCGGAGATCAGGAAGATTGCCAGCACTGTCCAACAAACTCTGGAAGAACATCTCTGCTGCTGGGGTCTCCCACTTTCGCAACTGGATTAACTCAATGGTTTGAAGCGTGGATGGCCAAACGGGAACTTGTTCAGGAAGCAAGAGTTGCTCATACTGAGGCTCTGAGTCGCGATATGTAGCATGGAGGTTGAAGTAGGTAAGGTTCATCCTGAAAACTTGGAGGTTCGGGCATGCTTCGCCGAGTGTTGGAAGGAATGCCAAGCTAAGTGACTGACAGTGGTTGAGCGTCAAAACGCGGAGTTGGCGACCATGTGTCAGAAGAAACTCGGCCAAGTCATCCGCAATGATCTCCCAGCAATTGACCAGCTCAAGGTTGCGCAGATTGGTAGGTAAGAGAGGAAGTAGCTTGGCATTGCAAAGGGTCGATGATTCGAAGATCAAGTGCTCCAATTCGGGAAGTGCATTCAAGGATTCGGCAAGGATATTCTCGTGCTTCGGATCTTCTTCATCCTTCTTGAGGTAAGGGACTTGGTAGTTGACGAAAGCAATCTTCCGGAGGGAAGTGAAGGAAGGCTTCATGTGGATTTCTCGCAGTTTGTCAATTGGCCACTTCTTTCCTGCCAATCTCGACGACCAACGCCAGCTCTGCAACCTGGATAGGCTTGTCTTATCACCTTGTTGTGCGTCGGCATTGGGATTGACGTATTCGAGCGCCTCGAAGATCGACTCGGGATATGTCCACTTGATAGTATCATCAAGGTTTCGGTAAGGCGACATGTCCTTCTGGTGATAGAACTCCAACGCAGCAAGGCGTGGCAGATCCTTGATGAGTCCATGCAGATCCAAGTGGCCCCGGCCCGCCCCAAGTGAATATGCAGCAACCTGGTCAACGTCAATTTGAAGTGACTCAACCTTTGGTCTATACTTGAATGCCATTGATGCAGGATCAGCCGTCAGCAGATCAACCAACATATGTGCCTGAATCATCGGAACCAGTGGAGGGGAGGAGTACAGAACTTTCAAAGCTGGTTCGGCGAAGGCGTGGCAGACATTCGCAGTACGGACCAGCCATCTGCCCGAAGGAAGAGGCTGAAAGGTGCGGTCATCGTAGAGAGGGTGTGAGGCATATTGGAATATCTGTACAAGTACTTGATACGGGAGATCTCGCCACGGCGGAATGACACCAGAACCTTCAATCAGAACAGTATCTTCGCTTGTGCTCGCCTTTGGTGTGCTTGGTTTCGATGATACTCTGCGCTTCTTCGGTGTGCGCTTAAAATCGGAATCGTCGGACTCGTCGACACGAGGGGAGGAGGAAGCCAGTCTGGAACGCTTTCCGGGTCGTTGAGAGGTTGTATTTTGGCGGTATTGTCGTGTAAGAGTGCGATTCTCTTTCTCGGAGGTCGAGTCTGCATCAGAAATTTCGAGGTCGCCGTCGGAATCAGGTTCTGCGTAGGAGATGATGGGTTTGGTTCGAGTTGCTCGAGGGGGTGTCCGCAACCTGCGGCGCGCAGCGGAAGCTGTCATGTTGAAGGCGGAGGCAGTGAGCCCGTGAATGTTTGCGCTATCAAACCATCAAGTGATGCTAAAAGCGGCGAAGGGAGGCGTGCGAATATCGGAAAATAGCCGCTGCGTTGTTGAGTGTATTTGGGTTGGACGTCGCAGATGTTTGAAGCATTCACAAGTCACTTTTGGTCTGTACGTACAAAACTAGAAAACGAGAAAACGGCGGATCAGCCTTGTGGATCTTGCAGCAGCTAAAACTTAGCGCCTCGCTTGTAGATTTTAGCGTGAATGCCTCACTGTGGCTGGTGAGGCAGTGAATTCCACCCAAAGAAATTTGATCGTCTCCCGCCATCGCTAACAAGCGCGCGGAGTATAAACACCAAACATTGCGACAACCTTCACTCTGGCAGCTGCTCAAGTTCATGCACCACCCTGGGCCTCTCTGATCGAGCCTGTGTGTGCCCGGACAGCTTGCACCGATGATTAGGCTGCTTGCGACGCGCCTTTGCTGTTCTTTCCTTGGTACATCAACAGGTGGTCAAAATCGCATCTCCGACGCGCTTTCTTAGGGTCCCAGAATCCAACGTAGTCAGTCACCTTCACCTTGGCTTTCCTTCACAGCGCACCACCATTCACTGCCCGCACCCAGAGACTAGACAGTCACTCTTTGTATGGACGCTGCGGCCGGTTACAGGCTAGCCGGGGCCTTTTAACGATATGAGCGATGTCAGTCGCAACCTTTAGAGGAGAAGGAGACGCTGCCCTCATAGCCTTCATCTACAAGCAACAAGCCCCCAGGCGCATTTACCTTCGGAGGAATGTGCGCAGCGTCTTGCGATCTCTAGCCATGGGGAAAGCGTTTTCGTCTTTACGATCTCCGAGGCCGAGACCTGAGCCTGCGGCCTCAGACGATGAGGAAGATGAGGACCCAAGACCCGCCAAGCGGAGGCGGGTCAACTACAGCGATGACAGCAGTCGTGTTTCTCAGATTGGCGATGATTCTGGGGTTCGAAAACCGCTTGGTCAGGTGACGAACGAGGGCAGTAGGAGTCTCGTCCGATTGCCTGGGAAGCCTGGGCTCCTTCAGCCATCAGACTTCTATGGCAAGCCTCGCTCGGTCACGCCTGTCCAATCAGATGGAGCCTTATCAAAATCGAGCAAAACTCAAATCAACAGCATCTTGAGCAAGACCCCAACGCAGTTCAAGAAATCTCTACGAGTGGACATTGTTGAGATCAGCCCTGCATCGGCCGTTGACGTTGAAAGATTCGCGATTTCACACCCTAGAAAATCTCAAATCGACATCAAATGCAGATGCACAGTAATGATCTTCCTTGCCAAGAACGATGAGAATCCTGGAGATGTACGGCCGGCAGACTACACCGAAATCTGTCGAGACACCACGTGGTGTACTTTACGGATTACCTTTGGAGAGGACAATTGCATCTCGAGGGAGTTTATCATGTCAGAGCCCTTTTTATTTCAACCAGACCGGTTTCACTTAAATCGGAGGTTCAGAAAACCCAACGGCCAATGGTCACCCTTCAAATTCGACTTTGCCGATAAGTACAATTTACAGGTTCTCGTTGAGCCTGTTGGAAGCCACAAAGATTGGCCTCCAGTAGATATTCCTACAGTTGAACAACTACGATCGATCGAAGATGGCCCTCCTAGCCCTATATCGGCAGCCCTCGAAGACCATCAAATGACCCGCGATGAGCTGCACCTTTTTTGTAAGACGGAAGCTCGGCTTGACGCTCTCCTTGATCCAGAACGACAGAACAGAGTACTGGAGTTACAGCTACAGGACTTTGCAAAGACAGCCAAGCAAGTCCTGCCTTACACATTGAGAATCGAGATCAAATGGGCGCTTCCAAGTCATTTATGTCCTCAAACTTTACCTCTAAGAACACCGAAAGTGGAGGAGACATCTCGAGCGATTCTGCCTCCTCCAGCGAGCGTCAATATTCTGGAGTCGCCGGTTCGTCGCCTGCGGGAAGATATCTCAGCATCAAATAGCCCAGCAGATCGCTCGCAGAGGAAGCGGTCAAATGTCGCCACGTACAACTTGAAGACTCTTAGCGCCCAAGCACAGGGCAAGTCTCCTCGAGTTCGCAAGATCAACTTCAAACCTGAGCAACGAGGATTGGGCGACGAAGATATCAGTGTGACCTACAATTTTGGGAAAGGAGATGCAGCCGAGACAGGCGTGAAGCAACAGACAATCATACCAGGATTGGACTGTCCATTTTGCAATAGTCATTGCAGCCACGTTGATGATCTAAGACTCCACCTCCATACAGACCACACCATGTTCAAGTTCCATCTCCGAAAGGCAAACCCACCAAGAATCTCATTCTTCGTGGAAGTGTGCAAAACTCGGACTGGACCTACAATGAACGCTGAGCGGCAGAAGACGCATCAGTTTGGCCAGTCAATGACCTTGTTTGATCTGGCAAAGAATTTGGGTGGGGATGAGTCCTGGAGCAAAGGACGACATGGGCCTCTTCACAATACTTGGCCTGATCACCTCCTCGACCGTCACGATTCCTCTCTGTCTTCTTCCCCACACGAATCTCGCCATAGTTCACCAAACACATCCAACGACACCGACGACTTGATGGATTTTGAGGACTCCATCAAGTCCAAGCTCCAGCTTCGGCCCCGGAAAATCTATTACGTTCCAAAGACGGCCAAACCACTTTATGATACGATCACCAAGCGCATCCTGAAGCCAGGTGAAGAATTACCGAACAGTGATGACGAGAAAGAGGAAGGCTGGCTTCGACAGAAGAGCCGCGATCTGATAAACGACTTTACGGATGTTACGTTTGAGGAAAAGGATTTCATCAATACATACAACCCGTTCATAATTAACGAGCATCTCACCAGCCCAAAATATCTACCTGAAGCCCTGATACGATTCACGGAAAGCCACAAAAAATGGTTCGCAGAGAAAAACAGCCGAAAGAAGGAATTCATGAAGTTAATGGAGGTCTTCATTCTTCGGGGGGTGGTGGAGGAGAGAACGCTTGAGAGATGCGTCGATATCTTGAGAGCGGCAGAGAGAGCCAACAGGGGCAAGGACATCGATATGAATGACGCCGCTCCACCAAAACCTCGAGCGCTGATGGATTGCATTTGCGGGGAACACACTCAACCTCCTAATCGGGTGATTTGTCGTGGTGCTGTAAGATTTTCCGTCCCTGAATGCTTCAGTTGAATTCGCTAACCTTTCCAGCGCTGCCCTGGACGCTTCTTCCACCCCAGGTGTGCAGCAGAGGAGTTTGGACGGCCGACAACGGGAATCTGGAAGTGCAATCATTGTCTTTCTTGAGCATTTGCTGCATCACCGAGGCATGGTCATTAGCATGGAGTTGGGCGGGTTTGGATGTGATTACTGTATAGCATAATATTGTACCATAAAAAACGCATAGGATGGAAGGGAGAGCGCGGAGCGTGGAGGGATCATACGGCGGGGGGCATGTTTTCTGCTTGCTCTGCAAAGGGGAAACTGGCTGCTGCTGGCTCATAAAGACATGCATGGCTCATTCAATGGACTGCATCTGCATCTACGGTCAGGAAATGCTTTCAACCTGACTGCAATACTTTCTGGATAGAGTACCTGGATAGAGTCCCTACCTCAATCAGATATCACGTGCCTCATCCCATTTCATCTGCTCCCGTCTCTGATTCGCCGCCCTACCGTGCGCCGCCTGGCGGCCTGGCTTCCACGAGGTGCGGTCCCTGCTCATTACGGCGGCGGCACTGCGGCTGTTGGGCAGCAGAACGTGGATTGCAGTCGCTCACGTGGGAATCGGCACTCGAGATAGATAGAGGAGAGTTCACGGTGCCGCATTTTCCGGATATGTGCAGGCGATTGCATGGGGACTGCAAACTCCATGCCTGGACGAGGGTTTGTGTGTATGTGTGTATGCATGTATATATTGGTTGATCAGTACTTCGGAGTATTGAGTGTGAACGGAGCGCCAACAAGCGTGCTGCGTGCTGCGTGCTGCGTGACGCAAAGCCAATCCCGGGCTGGCGTGGACTGGACTGAGGAGCGAACCGCAGGATCCCAGCCACACGTTCCGCAACTGCAGTGCGCTTCCATCCGAGCAGCGACTTAGCCTGGCACGCCTGGCACGTCTGGCCATCGACCGAGAATCTGACCCCGACCCCGACCCCCATCCCCGACACTACACCACACCCCAGACACAGCACAGCACAGCTCCACGCGACTCGACAACACCGACGGACAGTCCGTTCTACCATCGCACTCGCCATTGATGAGGAGCAGGCCCGGCGCAATTGGAAGGAGTCGCGCGAACTTTCATGACGGCGCGCTGCACCGTGGGTGGGAGGCCAGGCCAAAGGGATTCCGCCATGCGACCATGAATGGCTCTTGATCAAGAGACAATAGCTCACTATAATACCCAACAACACTCGACATTCACTCCAGCACTATAACACAAAGAGTGCGCATCGAGGGATATCTGCTTCTGATGTACGAGCCCTCTCTTCCCTTGCCCTTCCAACTTCTCCAAACTTCAACCCTCCCCCAAAGAATCTCCAGACCCACAACCTCGGATCTCCTACCAGCTTTTGACGAGCAGCAGAGTCTAGCATGGAGACCAAGCAGGCCAGGCCGGGCGCTGTGGCAGCACAGAAAGGCTTGGGACTGGTCGACAAGCAGATCGCCGCGCTGAAGAACCGCTTCCTGCCCTCTGTAGGTTTCTTTTTCCCTCCATCTCAGTGTCCCAGCTCATCACATCTCCCCAGGAACCCCACCTCCTCAATGTCTCGACCGACGACCCCTTTTATAACCACTACTACCACGAGTACGAGAGGCTGCCCTTCGACCCCAACGAGGTCAAGCAGCTGCAGTACATGACCATGATCTCGGACGGCGATCGCGGCGTCGCAGCTGCGCGCGGGGACTGGCACGACGAGATATACAACCAGGTCGCATCACCAGGAAGCGCAGATGCGCGCAGCAGCACCACGACCCCGAACCCTGCGAAGGATCTGAAGAAGGCGGCTGTCAAAATGTCGTTCTCTGATTATAAGAATTTGAAGGAGAAGGGGATCAGGCCTTCGCCGAAACCGGTTGCTGTGGATGCGGAGCGCAAGCCGGGACACTCACGGAATACAAGTGCGGTTACTGCGGGCACTCCGATGAGTAGGATGTCTTCTTTGGAGGGCCCGGTCAAGCAGAATGGTGTGCGTGCAGCGGTCAGCTCTATCTCTGCGGAGAAGAGGCTAAGCAAGGAGACGGAGAAGTAAGTAGATCATCCGACTTTCTTTGGAGCTTCGCTAATGCAGTCTAGACCTACTGCAGCTCGGAGTTCTACTGCACTACAAGAAAAGCCGCGCCCAACTACGAATGGTCATGTTGAGCCAACAAAGAATCCTCTTCAAGTCAAAGTTGCCAATAAGCCTCATCAGAAGCCGCAATCACAACCGAATAATGTCCGAATTCATGGCCTGCCTCCTCGACCTCCGTCTCCTGCACGCAAGAACCCGGATCTCAAGCAACAACCCGAACATAAGCAACAAAAGAGACCGCTCGGGTCAGGTGACGCTTCACAACCGGAGAAGCGTACCAAGATCGAGCAGTCAAGAATACCTTCAAGTTCATCGAATTCCCTTCCTCGAAAGCCTGAGACTCCGACTGGAAAGCTGGGACTCAACCTTCATAATAAGCCACAACATCAATCACCTCAACCGAAGAAGGAAACTCCTAACAAACCAAATCCCATTTCTAAGCCATCATCCGAGAAGCCCCTGGATCTTCCACCTCTCTTATCACCTCTTCCGGCAGATCTAGATAGCAGCCCTGCTCTGAAGTCACAACCAACATCAGGCTTCTCGAAGAAACTCGAATCTGGCAAGAATTCTTCGCAAAGTACACCCTCCAAATTCAAGGTCGGCCCAGATACTATTGTGGTTAAGAAGCCTTCACAGCCCGAATCCTCTCCACTCTCACCACCACCAAAATCACCACTCGCTCCTCTACCTGCCCTTTTGTCTCCAACACTACCACAGATTATAGAGGACGAGTTGGTACGCTTACAGCAGAAGTCGGCCGAAAAGGCTGAGAAACATGCTGCTCTGAGCACCCCCGAAGTCCGTTACGAAAAGTCTCGACAACCGGATACTCCAGGCGTTGCTCGGAAGACGGTCACCCCTAAGGTTGGACATCCGCCAAAGAAGAACCATGGAGAATCCAGCAAGTCCAAGGACAGACCAGAGAGATTAATTGTGAGGCTGAAGTACAAGAAACGGAAAGGAGAAGACATCCGACGCATTCTTGGTCTCAAGCCTCGCCCCGATAGAATATTCCTGCAACTCGAAAAAGAGCGCCTCAGATCGACGTCCAAAGCCCGGGATACCGAAGATGAAGACGATGTTCCCCTTTCCAAGATCACAAAACCCGCAGCAGCACCCGCAGTACCGAAGAAACGCTCCAACGATTCCTTCGACTCCCGTACCTCCGAACCAGCACCTAAGCGTCAAAACAAAGGCCCCGACCCAATCGATGTCTCTAAATCCCACCGTTCCCTCGACCCACCCTTCAAATCCCCCGCTCTTACCGCCCCATCTCAAAAATCCATCCTCTCAACACCCAAGAAAGGAGAGACCATGAAATCCGCATCCATCGCGATGCGCCGTGTCGATTCCAACGACGGCCTTTCTCGGACCCCGCAAACTTCCACCAGCACCCCTGCCTCGGCGGAAAAACCACGTATCAATGGCTCCGTACCCCCGAACCCAGAACACGATCCTCTTCGTGCGGATGAGAAGCGCTTTGCTGAGTCCGCACTCAAGCTGAAGAGGAAAATGGACGAGTACCTAAAAACCAAGGGTGGAAACAGGGAAGCGATTACCGAGCGCGAGAAGAAACTCGGAGTTTGCGTCGGCCTGGAGTGTTTAGTAACGTACATGAACTGCTGGGCCATGCAAGAGAAAGTAGCCAGGAGGCAGGGCACGAATGATAAAGTGTGGATCGATGGCGTTAGACTCTGGGAGTTTGTTGAGCGCGAAGCACGAGTGTATCCCGTGTTGAGCGTGTTGAGCGCGAATATCGGCGGATTGATGAGGGAGGAGTGCGCGCGGATCTTCGCGCGGATGGTGGAGGAGAGGCGGCATGCGGACGGGGATAAGGAGAAGGATGGGGAGGAGGCGGTCAAGGGATTGGTGATCAACCAGCGGGGCCGCGAGAAGTGTTGGAGTAACGTTGGGAGGGGACGTGGGGCCTTGCAGGAGCTGGGGGCGAGGGAGGTTCTCGGCCCTTGGTCTACGGCTGGTGAGGCGTTGACATATGTCTGTGATGTGTTGGAGAAATATAGCAGGAGGGAGAAAATAGGATGGAAGAGAGACTTGGCTTGATTTGGCATGGGATTTGAATGGAAGGGGCTGAAAATGGATGGATGGGTATATGAAAGAAAGGATGAAATGAAATGGGGGTGAATGTCTCGGCGTTTTGGGGGTGCACGATACCCGCTCTTATTTGAGCCCTTATGATTTGCATGGCTGTCTTCCTTTTTTTCTTTCGTTTTCTCAGAATAGGGGGATTGTAACAATAGATATGAGAACCGAGATGGACAGGACAGGACAGGAAAGTACGGAGATCGGCAATAGATAGAGAGAGGGGAACGAAACGAACACCTCGAATAAGCTCAGCTTAAATAAAGGAATCGGTTGTACTATGCAACCATCTTTCAGATGAAGATTGGAAGTTGTAATGTAACTCAAAACCAGCACAATCTGCCGCCTCCGAGGCAGTATTTCCAGTACTTCCAGCTTACCTAACGGGACTAGTTAAGGTCCAACGTTTCAAGCTTTTCAGCTCCCAGCTTCGTGTCGCGAGTTTTTTAGATAACTTTTTTAAGCGGGCTCCACTTCTGGACCCTTGTGGATGTGCACCCCTACCGAGATGTACTCCAAGGTACCGCTTGCTAATTGTCATCGCAGAGCAGAGCCAATTCTTACCTATTTGCGGTCCTCAAGTCTCAAAGATTTGTTTATTTTTGACCTACATTTCATATGGCACTTCCATATTTCGATCAAATAAAAAGCCGTTGAATTAGATACACGTTTTGTACTTTATGTCATAGACGATGTCCATGTTTAACGTTTAATATAATTTATTCTTATGCTACTGTATTGTTGTCACGGCCTGGACAAGCTGTGGAAGTGGAATGTGGTGTGTTTGGTATAAATATGTATGAATGATCGTGCCCTAAGGGCGGTGAAGAAGCTATATATACGCCTGTGCACAGCACGTAACAATTGTACAGTAAGAGTCGAAATCAGTGTCAGTCCAAAAATTCAATGGTTTAATGATTTGACGAATTTCTGGGGTGCGCTTGTGCCGATAGAAGAATACTTTCTAGAGGTTATCTCGCTGCAGCCTGATGCAAGCACATCCAAAATTGGCTGTAGGGACACTTTGTACCCAATTTTTGGTATATTCTTAGCGTAAAGGTCACGTGTACTTCCCTAGTAGCAGAAAAATTGAATCACTCGAAGACTAAGCTAAGCCATTCCCTCTCTGGACCAAGAACTTGAGCCAGCTTAAGCCAGAATGATTCATTATTGTTTTAACTCGAGTTAGATTAAGAAGCGAGAGTAGGCTGCTGCCGTCTGGGCTTGAATCCGGGATAACCTCTGGCTAGTGTTGCTATATGGAAAAGCTGACTAGAAGGAATGTATTTACGACCACTAGGGTTATCAGAATAGCGAATAAGTCTGATACCGCTCTATGTAAAACGGGCAATAACCGGCCAGGTAACATGATCCTACAAGTGAGCACAAGCCTCGAACCGGCGAAGGTCGAAGGACTAACGGGATCGCAGAGCCTTTAACACATACAACTATGTCGCCCACCATTGTACCTGGGGCGGCCAGACCGACAAGGCCGTCGTCGCTCACGAAGAACGGGACATCAGCAATAGTGTCCCGCACGGTCTCGTAGAACACTATGGCCGTGGCCACGTCGAAGCTTGCCTTGCTAATCGCCCAGCTGCGGTTCACGCTCACATTGAACCTGTCCTTAAACACCTCACCATTCTCATCCAGGCAATGCGCCTTGAACATTTCCGACGCATTTCTCAGCCCCTCTGCAGAGTAAACCATGTTGTCGCCGAAGCCCGTGACGGTTTGGCTGGTCAGGCAGGAAGACTTTGTGACCAGAGTCGACCAGAAGGCCGTCTCTGCGTCGCCGCCCAAAGGATACTCGTTCGATTGGCTGACCCTCTTGAACATCTCACGGCATGCTAGGACGTGCTCCCTTGTAGCCTCGAAGCAGCCCGGTTGGCCGCCTATATGAATCCTGGGGTCGGGGAACTCCCTGGAGACACAGTCGGAGATTTGGAGGAGGCAGAACGCCTCTATCTCGAGTATGAACCCCTTGCCGCCAATCTTTGTTTGCTCCGACTCCAGCAGTTCATAGTTTTTGGCTTCAACGTAACGTGCGAGCCAGGACAGCTGGCGAGCCGGGCTCGGGCTGCGGTAATCGGGCACCCAAGAGGGTAGGAAACCCTGCTCAGCACGAAGTTGGCTGGGAGAAAACTGCCGATCCCACGTTCCGGCGTCATACAGGACCTCGAGCCTCCCGCTCTCTAAGGCTTTGCGGGCAAAATCTAGAAATATGTCATTTAGTGCTAGAGAGTAGTCAGGCTTCATGTGGACTGTGCGGTCGCCGGTCTGCAGACTTAGTAGGGCGTATATTCGGTCTCTATCGTCTGCACAGGTCTGCCCTCGAAGCTTGCGCATGCTGGCGCCGAAGGCGTCAAGGGGTTTTCCATCAAGCCTTGGGGGTCCGCTGCACAGCGTAAACATCAACTGGACCTCCGCAATCTCGGCAGCACGGCGCAGCATCTTCTCGTCATAGACAAACATGTTAGACCGGTTGTCGACCATGGCTTTGAGCCCCATCATGGCTATGGCAAAGGTGGTCCACTCAAGCTCGCATTGGCCCTGGTAGATGATGGCCCTACTAGCGAGGGCAATCTCCTGCACGATCCACATGCGCGAGAAGTAGGGGTTGGTGTATATCTTCCCCATCCCGTTCTCGAGTACTTCGTCCTGTATCTGAGTCACTGAGCGATCAGCTGGGATGGTAAGGAATTTCTTGTTAAACAGAAGAGCCATAGCAAGATCTGACTTGTCGTCCGGTACCGATCCCAGCCCACGGTCAATGAGCCATCTGGCCAAGTCGCGGAACCCATCCATGGCCCGGTGCGTAACATCATCAGCACCCGGGCCCAGCCAGATCAGCACCTGGGCTGCATTCTTGTAGATGCCAGCCATCATGCCCACTTGGATCTGCTTCTCTTGTATGTCACTCTGGTTGATACACACGGCATCTGCCCACAATACCCGCACGCTATCCCGCAGCCGAAAGCGTCGGAGTGCCGAGGCCAGATTAGCTGTGATGCCGAGCTCTTCTAAGGGGCACGCCGTCCCATCCCCGATACGCAGCCGCGCGTTAAAGATGGGCTCACCCCACATGTACGATATGGCCTCGTAGGCGGTAGGATTGTCACTCTCGCCTGTGTCGATAAAGCGGGCGTAGAGGGGGGCGTCTTCTGTTTCCGCTGGATCTAGTCGCAGTAGGTGGATGGATTTACCAGTCTGTAAAGGCTTGTAGGAGAAGTTAAATTGAGGAGGGATCGATACTGATTTAGGATAGGTTGGGAACTCGAGCTCATAGCCTGCCTGACGGAGACGCTCGTCGATATCATAGAACCTTTGGGATGTCCCAAGTACTGGCAGAGGCGGAGATCCGCGCGTTTGCTTGGTCTCATCAACCATCACGATATTGGATTAAGTGACAGATACAGATATAGACACCTTGGGGCTTTGGATATTGCTTCAAATGTTAACCGGTGGTCAACCTCGGAAGTACATCAGGCTCCGGTCAACCCCTATTGGCCATTTGCTGTCACGTGCAAAGCTCAGAGGTTCAGGAAGCCGGAATCAGCGGTCTGTCAGTTGTGACCCCGCTAGGGATAGCAAAAATTTAATCAATTAAATTATTATTAATGGTCAAAAATTTATTATTTATTAATGGTCAAGCCATTATTAAATGCGTAATTTTATGCGTAATTTATGATTTTTTTAATGAAAATATTAATCACGTGGCATAATATTAAGAATGAATTTATATTTTTATTCCTTCTCACCCATAGTAATATCTGATACTAGTATCTCGTCGATAAAGGCACTAAGATCTGACCAGTTCTCCTTAGTTAAAGGAGGTATAGTGGTATTGATAGTAATAATATTAGTAGTATTTTTACTAATGCAAAGAAAGTGTGTATTACATGTACTAGATTCTAGCCCTCTAATTGGCCGGATTCAAATCCTATTCGAGACCCACTTAATTTAGTGTTTAATAGTCAAAAGAGGATTAAATTAAATATTAATATTTAAATAATTTAGACTTTTTTTATAAAATATAAAAACTTAATAATTATTATAATTTTAAAGGTTTTAGCTTTTGTTTTTAGTCTCATTAATCTCTTACTTTTAGCTTAATGCCAACGCTCTCTCTATAGATCTGGCTAAGCCTCTGGGGAAGGAGGACGGGTATGGATTTCAAAAGACTTTGCGACCTAGATGCTCCGGTAAGCCGGCGCAGGAGCCTTACAGATCCCTCTCGACCGGCCTTCAAGGAGACTCAAACAGTAGGGCGAGAAGCTAAACTTCTATTTATATCGAAGTATAGAATATCCAGGGGAGAGTACAACAGCTTTTGCAGGTGTGGCCCAGAAACTCGAAAGCATATGCCCGAATGGCTTCTTCTAGGGACTGCGCGTAGCAAGATTTCGACTGGGGACTTCCGTGGCCGTCACAAGTACCTCTTGTACGCCGAGAGAGGTTCCCTGCTTGGAGCTGGGCTCTCCGAAGGGTACGCTCTTCGATAGTCAACCAATAGACGTTACAAAGAGTCGACAAGTTCCCACTGATCTCGAGATCCGAAGGTCCAAGACCCGACACATGAAGCGAATCTTTGCCACCACGTGCTACTCTCCTGCTAGTAATGAGATTATCTGTATCGTACTAAGAAATGATTCTATCGATGATGCCGCACGTCTGGAACCGGCAGAGCCAGAATTCGACGCGAGTCAGTATCCCGCAGCTGAAGAAAAGGGCTATCCATTCATCACGGGTATATTCTTGCACGTTGTGCCTGGCTTTGGGAGACTGATGACAGGCACTTATTAAGCTGGTCAGTATGAGACTTTGCCTCTCTTTGCGGCCAAGGCGGTTCAGTGCCATATCAGGATCGCTGGATCCCTAGCCACTAACTCGGCCGCTAGAGACGGCAGCTAGGTTCAGGATCTATTTAATAAAGATAAAGATAAATAGAACTTTATCTTGATATTCGAGGGACTATGTTGAAAACCTCACTGTGCATCATTTGATGCTCCTCAAGATGCGGGGATCGAAGGAACGTTGCCAAGCGTGCGGCGGTGCTTGAGCTACTGGTTCCGTTCGACGAGTTGGAAGTAAAGTACTGGAGAACTTCCGCTCCCGCAGAAGACGGGTTGTGCTAGTTTGTATAAAACCCGCAGTCCACTTCGCTTCTATGACAACAAGAACCCTAGAACTGCACGCCAGTACACAAACTCCCATCAACCACAAGATTCGCTCCGCTGATAAAGCTTGCTCGCTCGCTTGCCAGAAAAAGCACCGCAGCTGCAATCTCTTCGGGTTTGCCCATCCTTCCCATGGGATTCTTGGCCATCTGCGAGCTGAAGAGGGCGTGGTTGGATTTTTCGATGCCGCCCCATACCTGATGATCTTTATTAGCCCTGTGTAGGGGAATAATGGGAAAATGGTAAGGAAAGTGCGAACTAGGAGAGGAGAAGCGCATACGCCGTCTTCAACATAGATATTTCCAGGGCTGACGGTGTTGGCTCTCACACTTTTGGGGGCTAACGTGTGAGCGAGCTGTGCTGTATAATGTATCAAGGCGGCTTTGAATGCTCCGTACCTGCCCATTTTCCAGTCAGCATATACATTTCGAGGAAGCCAGTAGAAGCAGTTGAATTTCGCAGCCCGTGAGAAAATGGAGAGAGATGGGAATGGATAATGTGCGTACGGTGAAGGAGCTGTGAAGTCAATGTCTCTTCCCGAAACACTTGAAATTGTGATGATACTCCCCTTTGAGGCTTCAAGATGGGGTAGTGCAGCTTGGACTAATGAGACTGTGCCTCTCATATCCGTGCCGTACGCCGTTTCCCAAGCTTCGGGCGTATTCGTCACACTTATCGATGAAACGTTGGAGACGACCACGTCGATTTTCTTCTCATACTCCACGATTCTAGAAATCCACGCCGAGACGTCAGAGGGTTTGGAGACGTCGATCGCGGAGCCGGAGATGAATGTGTATGGGTACTTGGTGACGAAGGATGAGGTGGCCGCGCTGATATCCGCTCCTGTTCTACAGCAGAAGTAGACGCGGGATCCTTCGTCCAGGCTGGGCGTTGTGAGCCGAGGGGATGAAGGCAGAGATTCGAGTGCTTACAAGCCTTCGACAATCGCGCGGCCAATACCCTTGGTTCCGCCTGCAGACGGGTTAGCTGCGGTTGAGAATTCTAGGAGAAATGAATGGGGTGGACCGTGGAGGGAGAAGTACCGGTTACGACAACGGTTTTATCTCTGAGGTTGAGATGCATCTTCTGATTTGCGTGTGGCAACTGAAGGAGATGTTTCGCGAGAGAGAGAATTTAAGGCGTGAAAGAGGTGACTGAGTGAAGAGATTGGGGAACGAGGTTGAAGTTGAGTTGAGTTACCCCACAATCTTTATCTTATCGGAGATGAATGGTGGGGTGAAAGTCAGGGGTTGACGTCTTTGTTCGGCGTTAAGAAGTTGAATCTCGGAATCATTAATAATGGAACCTCAGAAAGAGTTAAAGTCTGAAAAAGAAGTTTCTTCTATTCAAGAAACTTCCCCCTTTATTAAGCTAGGTTTAGAGTTTGAGTTTGAGGCTAGAATCGTCAGATATTCTTCCGCGGTTAAAGTCGCTTACCTCGTGGAACAAAATAGGGGTCTGGGGAGGCTTGGGAAGGCGAGGAGCTGTTGGAGGGAAACTTTTGTGTGAGTCGGTTCTCAAGGGACAAGTAAAAGTGTTGGTAATCTAAGACATTCAGTAGCATTAGAGAAAAGCAATCTCGTGATACCCTTGCAGGCCTCCCCTAGATTCTCTTTCATATTACCTTCCTTTCCTCCTTCTTTGTCGTTTCTTTCGCCAGTACAGCATCTCCGCATCCTCAACACGGAGCCACCATTATTTATACATGCTAGAAACTAACTCATGCACAGGAACCGGTACAAACTCCTCCGCCTCATACGGAAAAGATTCCGGCTGCTTCGATCCCCAATTCTGTATACGCAGTTGTTTCCCCCTGAAGCTATTGACGTCAAACACTGACGGTAAAGCTCCAAGTCGTCCCGTCTTTCACAAAGATATTACACCTGATATCAAGCCCAAGGTAAGCTGGGGGGTTATTCGGTTGGTTGCACGTGCCAACAGCTAAATTAATGCCCCACTTTGTGGGTTCCAGCCGGGAGGGTGATGATTTAGCGAGCACCCCCTATTGTTTTTGCCGAGGGGAGGCTGACGACAAATCTTCCCTCTAGCGACATACTGCCTGGGAAGGCTTGCCACCTCACCAGTTGCTAACTGGACCGGCGAGGCTGTGGGGTCATGGATATGAACACGCATCAGCAATTCGAGCGGTCAGATTAGTTGAACGAGACGGCCAATCATGAAGATGCACGTGGTCTGACAGGCAACAGCAAACGTATCCTCCACAGCCCTTGCGAACGTAGAAACTTACAACTTCCTCAATTGGTTTCTTTATGCACATTTCATATACTAGTGCTGGGTTTTGCTTCTGCTAGCGGTACATGCAGTACTCTAATGTGCCCATTTTAGATTGTCTCGACGAATGGAGTATACGCCTTTAAGAGAGGATCTTGACGAGATTCGAGTTATCACCATTCTTCCAACCTCCGCTGATGGACTCGTTCATTGCACCATCGAAGTTGTCTCTCTCACGGACCGGAATGAGAGGGGTGAAAACCACGAAGCCACCGAAGCTCCTGCACCATCACAATACCGCTTCAAATGGGGTGATTATGCATGCTTGTCGTACACGTGGGGGGATCCGACGAAAACGGCAAGCATCATTGCCAATAGCGTCCAAATCCAAGTGCCCACCAATTTGGAAGCTTGCCTTCAAACCATGCAAAATCGATCGATGTTTGGAGCAAGATTCAAGGTATGGATTGATGCCATCTCTATCAATCAAAGGGATACCGCAGAGCGTGGTCTTCAAGTTGGCAAGATGCGAGAACTTTATACTGTGGCCTGGTCGGTCGTGATATGGCTAGGTGCGGAGTGTTCAGATAGCCAGAAAGCCATCGATCTCTTGGAAAAGCTGTCGCGTTACTACGATCATGGAGACAAAGATGAACGCAATATCCCAAATCTGAACCTAGAAATTGAGGCACTTAGGTCTTCCCTGAAAAATGACCCTGAATATCTTGGTAGAGGAAGTTGGGTGGCTCTACGAGAATTCCTGAGCCGCCCTTATTGGGACCGACTATGGATCATACAAGAAGTTCTGATCAGCGCCTCGAAAACCGTACTCTGTGGGAGTCGCTCCATTAATTGGGATATCCTTTGCAAAGGGATAGGCACTATCCATCAGTCCCTTTTCGTGATGAAAAACGATCTTCTCGACCACGACCAGAAAGTCTGTGAGAAGACGTATCTAGAGCCGTGGAGCACGAAAAATTTGCATCGGGTGTTGAAGGACTTGTGGCTTCTGGGTGAAGAACTCAAGCAGAAAAGCAACTCGATCTATCTTCCAAGCAAGCGAGCCGACAGCCATCCTCGGTTTCAATTTCATCGCAAACCATTGGATATTCATCGCCTCCTGGAAATCTCAAAGCAGTCGCTTGGATCTGATGCAAGAGACAGATTCTACGGCTTGCTTGCAATTGTGGAGCCGGAGTTTGCAAGTCAGATCAGACCCTCATACGCCATAGACGCCGGAGCGGCTTTCAACATGGTTGCAAAGACGCATATTCAAACATATAATTCGTTGGAGATTCTGAGAGAGGCAAACCCGTGGGGTGGCAACGACTCGGCATCTTGGGCTCCGGACTGGACATGGCAGGGACGAAATCGGTTCAAGATGCACCTCGTGCCTTACAATGCAAGTGGCAGCACTCCTTCAAGTGCTCGATTCTTAGACCAGGACAAGACTTTGATTTGCAGTGGTGTGATAATTGACAAAATTGACGGCCTGGGGCTGCGCCGTCGAGAGGCCCGAGGCGGTGTTAATCACGCTGCTGAGTTGTGGGAATTCAAAGCAGACACGATGGTGCAGCCACAAGCTACCTCACGTTCTGAGATTGAGATGGAGCAATTGAAGCTGAATTTGTGTCGTGCGCTCACGCGTGACCGCCCCTGGGAAATTCCTAACAATGAATCCACATGGCATTTGGCAGTGTTAAATCTACCTGCAGACGAAGACACAGCCTTGAAGGAATTTTCTGCCCGTGGACCGGGATGGGAGTACCTGGCGTCGGAGAGGAATTACTACCAGCGGTGGTCGTTGTGGAGAAAGGCACATGCCGAATTTATGATCTGCGGGCATCGACTTGACGAGTTCTTCATGGATCACGTACCAGACGATGCCTTGCATGATGATTATAGTGCTGCTTATAATGCGGCTAAGGGTTCTAGTCAGGCTCAAAGACTGGTCGTGACGGAGAAAAATCGAATCGGATGGGTTACTGACAATAATGATGGTGGTGCTGAGGATCAAGTGATGAGGGGGGATCTTTTCTGCGTTGTGTTCGGCTGCAGCACGCCTATTGTCATACGTCCCAATCCCAATGGGTTTGTTGTGCTAGGTGAAGGTTACCTTCAGGGTGTGATGGAAGGAGAGGCCTTGCAAATGGTAGAGGACGGAGAGCTCTGTATTCAAGATCTCAAGTTCTATTGAATTGTCACAGTGCCCGGTCCAGCGAACGTGAGTTCACACGCTTGCTTGGTCTTGTTTCTTTTCAAGTGAAGATCAAGACATCGATTCATTTTAATAAAAAGAACGAATGACATCCGATACTTGAACATTATCGACCTCCATCAAGAACCAGCTCAGCAGCCTCTCGCAGCCCCTCTCCATGTGATCGACTAAAAGAGATCTCTTGTGTGTAAACCACACGGTATACATAGCTCCTGAGCTATAGAGTAGGCTGGTTTCTAGTTATTAGTAATTAATTATAGTTAATACAATGATCTAAGATTAATTATACTAAAAGTCCAGTCATTAAATAAAGAAAAGCTTTTTACTTTATTAATTAATAATAATAATAATAATAATAATAATAATAATAATAATAATAATAATAATAATAATAATAATAATAATAATAATGATAATGATAATAATAATAAATAATAATAATAATAATAATAATAATAATAATAATAATAATAATAATGATAATGATAATAATAATAATAATAATAATAATAATAATGATAATGATAATAATTATATATTTAAACCAAAATAAATTACTAATAAATTTATAATTCTTAAAATAAGGAAGTAATTATTAAAAAAGAGCTAGCTTTAGAAGCTATAATTGAAATTAAAACTATTATATAAAATATATAAAAATATAAAAATAAAAGGAGAAAGAAGCAGTAAAGCTTGTGAGGAAAATAATAAGAGATTAATAGAGTAATTGATTAATTAATTACTACTAATTTATTAGTATAAATGTCGCGGCATAAAGTTATGCGACTTCAGGGCATGCCTGGCCGAGATATACTATTTGTCTTCTATAGGCTCAGATTATAGTGGAGGCAGACGCTAGAAGTCCCAATAAAGCGTTTCAGGGATTAAAAGACATTCTAGAGTATGCACCTGCAACTACAGGGGCTTAGTCGCTAAAGAGCCCAATAAAACCTCTAAGTTCCAGCACCTAAGCCCTATGTCACCGTGTTAACCTCGTAACAGCGTGGCGCTACAGCTACAGGCACTACAGGGCACATCACTAAAGTCGCATGACTTTATGCCGCGACATCAATAATTAGCTAGACCACGTAAGCGATTAATTATTAATAATTAGACTGATTAAAAACCAGCCTCCTATAGAGATAGGATAAGGTGGAATGACAATGCGGTGTGGGTGCGAGTATCCCCAATTGATAAGGAGCGGAGAGCAAGGCATTGAGGGAAACACCAAAGAGAATCAGGGGAGGGGGGGGCAGATGGATATGCATTATAGAGGGGTAGCAACCAGTGCTACTGAAGATAGTAGTTTACGTCCATTCATTACAAATCTCCATCTCCATTCGCCATAAGTCGTGGACTCATGAATACTTCAGCGCATGGCTATTCGTCGTCATTATAGAAGCCTGAGAAACCCCATCGAGAGGGGGGATCTTAGATCCATCCGTCCTTAGTGTGCGCGGGACCCTCCGAGCCGCCCCGGAAGGGAAGTTCAGACGTTGACATGATCGGAAGAAAGGCGGCATCGTCTTCACCAAGGGGTTGCAGGCTCCTATGACGCTTCTTCTCGTGCTCGTCCGTGAGGCTAGACTGCCGCTTCCTTGAGCTTGCGCCACTTGCTCGTGGTGATTCGCCAATCCCCGAGTCAAACGTCAGGTGGGAGAGATGAGCTTGAAATTTCTGAGTCGGATTCATATCTGGTGCTGTGCTCTCTTCCTGGAGCGAGGCGCACTCGCTCTCCAGGAGCTCAACTTGCTCATCGAGACTGGCCTTGGCCTCCAGGAGATCGGCAACTTCGACACGTAGCTTGGTATTCTCAGCCTGCAGCCTGTCGGCCGCATTTTGGAGGTCGACGTTCCGTTGCTTTAAAGTTTTGACGGTCTTCTCCATCATGAAATTTTCATCCTTCATCCTTCCTACCTCCGCAACCAGCTCACTGTTCTCAGCCTTCAACTTTTCGAGGCTGCTTTGGAGGTCATCGATCCGTTCAGCTTGCATTATCTTGTCAAATTGCAAGCTCGCAACCTTTGACTGGAGCTCGAGATTATCATTACTGAGTTTCTGGATTGTTGCGTCGTAGGTATGGTATTTCTGCTGCAGAGTTTCCATTTCTTCGCTGAGCCTGATGTTGTCCTCGCTTAGCCTGATGTTGCTATGTTCCCAGTATTTGCAGAGCCCTTCTAGATGTTTCGTCGTTTGCTCTAGGGCATCATAGCCTGAACTAAGATCCTCGTAGCTTTTCCCAAGACTCTTGTACTCGTTCCGCCATTTGGCTGCCTCATTGGCATGGTCGTCGCGGGCCGTCCGTTCAGCATCAATTTGTCTGGTGAGCAGCTTCATGCTTTCGGAGTGTTGAAGCTTCATTCCTTCGAACAGTTGAAGTTTCATTTCTTCGAACTTTTGGGTTAAGGCATTATGATAGGGGTCCTCTGCCATCCGGACTATTGGTAGCGGGAAAGAGACAGTGGAGCCACTGAAAGGGCTAACGGCATCTGAGACTACTAATTGTTAGGCCTAGCATACCGATAGGTTGTCATGGAAGAAACGTACTATCTCCCACATTACTAATGTGGTTGGAAGCCTGACCTGCATCGTCAGCGAAACCGGCACTTTCCTCGGTTGGCCAATCCCCGGCTTGGACAGGGGCGATTGATGGGGATCCTGCGTTTCCAGAATTATCGCCGCTAGCAGCTATATGGTTGAATGAGTTTGGCATGGATTCGCCCATTCCAATGGACATCTCATTTCCAGACGTTGAGGCGTAAGCCAGACCTCCGACTGGGCAGTATGAATGAATTCCTGTGTCGTCGAAATCCTGCGGGGACTTCTGGTGAGGCTTCTTGTTGCCCGGTTTGTTCCTTTTACTTTGGTTTTGATAGTCTGCGCTTTTCAAGAGCGGCGGTTGAATTGTCCGTTGAGTGGCAGGAACGGGATTGGATCGGCTGGAGACGCTGGGGGAATGATATGTGGATCGAATCGGAGTCGGTAGAAAGGAAGGGAGAGTCGAGCTAATCGGTGATGGTCTGCCTATAACCATAGAGCGCCGAGAGACAGATGCTACGGGAAGAGATGTAGGAGTTGAAGGGCCGAGAGTACTCGGGGAGCCCACCACTTGCGAATTCTTGCCCCTGAGCGCGGATCGCACCTGGCCTCTCAGATCGCGGACGACGCCACGGCTTTCGAGTTGCTCGCGTAAATAGCTCTCCCTGGAACAATCGTTAGATGGGTCTTTGCCACGTAGATGCATGTGCCTCTTAGTACTATGCTCTAGGTTTTCTCACGAGATACAGGTTTAACAGGGGGCCAACATTGTTTGTGGAGGAGGGGTGCAATAAGTGCCATTTATCATCGATTTTCATTGAGACCAGGTGACGAAGGGTATATAAAACGGGTAGTAGGTTTGATAGCTGCAATGAAACCAACGATGAACTTACTTTATTATAACTATCCCAATCTCAGCCTTGATTTTCTCGCACACCTTTCTGACACTTAGACCCTTTACTCGTACTTCGCCGCCCACCTCGTAGCCTTCGTAAAGTTTGACTAAATCATTCATTAAGATGCCGTAAACAAGGTCTTGAATTGCGTCCTCTCCTCTTCTGTTCTGCCATGGAGGGAGTCCTTCTCCCAGCTTCCACTTATCCCATTGCTTTTTGTAAATGCCGTGCCCTTTGGTCATAATCTCATTGATGGCGCGCTTTTCGAGTGATTCGCAGGACAGGGCGAGGACATGTCCCACCCAAGGCTCGTTTCTTGCTTTCACGCCCGACTCCGAAGCGATGGCAGCGAGTCTATCTCTCTTCACCCGGCCACACATATCAGGATCGTCATCCTCGAGACACGCTTTTATTTGTTCGATGGTGGTCGGTATAGCCCCCTCTGCGCCTGCCGGTGCAAGCGCCATGGCTAGATCTTGGCGCCGATTCGACTCGAAGGCTTTATGCTTGCTAAGGAACTGAGGGATGCGAAGCTGCAGAGGGTGAGGAAAGCAACAGCAGAAGGGGCGATCTTAAAGAGGCACGTCTTGTCTGGCGAATAGTTTCGAATTATTGTAAAGAGTGGTATTCGGACAGGCGCGTCGCCTAAACTAAATCCGAGGAAGGACTGAAGAGGACAAGACTGACGCAAAAGACGTAAAAGAGCGCATGTGTTATCTGCAGCAGGTCATATGCGATTACCGGTCTGCGCCGCCCTAAAATGTAAAGAATGGACAGAAAGGAGTGTATAGCAGGTAGTGACTGGACATGCACAGTTGGGCCTTCAACATGTGCGGTGAGGGCCACACCAAGCATGACCAAAGGAAAGAGACGCAGGAATGAGAAGGAACGAAACGAAACGAAAAGAAAAGAAAGGGAGGGACCGCGAGACAGACAGCCATCAGCTCGCGCGGCCCCCAGCTGGCTTATCCTCCTTAAAAGCTATCACGCACACAAGAGCGGACGTTGAATCTGGCATCAGGGCGGGCCGCATACCACGATAGGGGGATGACATGCACCCAAAGCCGGGCAATCTTCTGCTTTTGGACAAGGGCTGGCGCACGGCCTCTCCTCTCCCAATTGCTTCACCGAGGTAGTAATAAACTGATGCAGTAACGGTCAGATGGAAGGAATAGTACTGTATCAAGGAGCTGTTCGTCAATCCGGGGAAACAAGTGGACTCACTGCAGTAGGACTAGGTCCCTCGCCGAGCCTAAGAACGGGGAAGCTGGCCATGTCGTTGATCCCGAGGAGCTTGCAGTTGAAACGGGGCCTGCTCCGAGCCACCGGGCCCCTATTTGATCGCTGCGCTCAATCAAGCCGAATGTTATCTGAAGATCCGAGAGTGAAGCAATTCAAGCCCTTCCAAGATAACTTCCTTTCGAGTTTCTGTGATTTATCGTTTGGACGACTCCTCTGGACTCCAGAGTCTGGAGGCTCCTCAGTGCAAGTGAACATTTTAACCTCTGCTGCCCGAATTCCAAGGTTGAGCAGGGAACTCTTGACTCGTCATCGCCTGCATGCTTCATTTCCACCTTCGAGACTTGGAACCTCTCTGCCAATCACCCACTTTACCTGGCCTGGGACGTGGCTGCGGCGTATTCCTTCCACTTGAGACAAACTCGGCGAAGAACTCGGCGAAGGTTCAACGATCGACATTATTATCTTGGTACCGAGTCCCGACAAAGCTGACAAGACGACCTTCGGACCTTCTGTGCATCTTCCATAATCTCCTTCGGCGTGTCGTGAGGCAATCGAGATCCATGCCACGTAAGATCTTAGTTTTTCTGATGAAATACAACGACACGGATATGTCTCCGCGGTATGTTGTGACTTGAAACATAACGGGAGGCAAATTGGTGGCCCACGGCCATGTACCCTACAAGTTGGTCCTCCCGTGCGAGTCCCTGATCTGAACCACCGCATCGCGCTTAAGATGTCGGATCAGAGACGCGTCGCGTCACATCGAGGCAGCTCGGCGAGTCTTGATGAATCAAATCTTCGTATTTACGATGGAATAGTACGAAAAGGCGTCTCTGGAATCTTCCGGAACATGGGCCCCGGCTTTCGAAATAACGATTCTACTCCGTAACCTGCAGCCAGAGAGAAGCATCCGCTATTCTGTGGCGGAATAGAATTTGGCTGTTTGATAGAAAGGGGCTTGTTCGCTTCAGCGTCGATTCGCAGGCGAGCACTTCCCAACATGCCATTGTCGTAAAACCTCTCGGTTCCTCGGTCAGAATATGAAAGAACAAAGAAAAAAAGCACGAAGGATCGTCGAGACACACTCCGTCTAGGGAGCCGTAAGCTTTTGTGCGCTATAAATATAGGCTCTTGTGTCGTACAAAATCAGGCTCTCGCACGAGGTGCAGATAGGCTTTCGTTAATAGCAAACATAGGCTCGCTTGTGTTGTAAACACAATCTCTCGCACACTCATTGCCACTGATGTGCCCGTCTGATCCTTCTGAACATACTTCGAGTCCGACCGTACCCTGCAATAGGCTTTCAGTGTGTCGTAAATATGATCTCGCGTGTGCTGCTGGAGCGCTCTTTCTCGCACAGTGAACACAGGCTCTCGCGTCCTGCCCAATCATCAAGGATGGGCACCACCGAATCATCACTTCAATGGAGGCCCCTAAAACTTATAAAAGACGGCTTGGCCCTGATAGCAGAACGTCAAAAAACCATTCAAAAATTCTCCGAGCTTCAGTTTAATCCTACAATATACATTCTTAAGTTAGTAACCGCAACCAGAATCCAAACTCCAAGTCGCCAACACCTAATAGCCCCTCTACTAACATTGACTTAGTCCTGCTTAGCACCGGCATTTGTACACCTCAGCTCCAAGCTCAAATATCCCTTGCATCATTTTATAATCACAAGATCTTCGAATCAAACCCGAGACGCATCAACAGGTCAGTCACGGCATACAACTTCAACTACATAACTGCTGACTTTGGGTTTAGTTACAGGAAGCCTCACAACAACTTCAACTTCCAAGAGCTACTGCAGAGCGCCATGGATCATCAAAACACACCAGCTAGACACCACCAACCCGATACTCCTATCGACCGCTCAACAGGCTCATCTGGGGATCTGACGCCGATGGAGAGATGGGCAAGAGAAAACGCCAAGGAGGAGCCATGGAACGCGGTTGCTTCCAAGACCAACCCGAGTGGCGGGGAATATTCCAGTGGGCAGGGGACATCGTCAACGAGAGGGCAGAGTGGGAGCGTGGGAGTGGGATCAAATTGAGAGCGTATAACGAGCTGAATGCGAAGGGTATTCAGTTGCACTTGCACGAAGTAGCTCCTAGTAGTATCCGCACGTGAAAGTCGTACTTGCTCTATTGTTTCTCGTCCATTTATGTTGCCATCAAGTCTTACCCAAGAATCAAATCAACCGCTTCAACCTCCAATCCATCCCACACCCTCCTGTCTGCCCTCCCATGTATCCTCCTATACGCAACCCCACCCACAGTACATTGTAAAACTCATACAACACTCCCCTTTCCGGGCGTTTCTCGTTATCCACCTCTGCAGGAGCATGCCGGAACTCATCACTCGGAATATGTCCTCTCTAGTTCGCGACAACCTCGACCTTCACCCTTCCTCCATCACCCTCAGTCCTAAGGCCTCAAAGTCAGCTTCAGCTTGCAAGAGGAGAATACCAGTCCACTTGCCCTTCCATTCCCGTAACCAGACTGGGAGATTAGGGCTTTTCCTCTGTCTTTCTGTGAAACTGCCGAAGGGGAATGTTCGGTGCGTATTGCAGAAGAGATATCGCGTCTGCGGAGGGGTGATGGACTCCACATCTTTGTCGAGCATTGGGATTGGATACCAGAATTCGAGGTTTGGACACGATTCGTGGGTATAGAAGTGTGTGTCGCAGCCGGAAGGGGGAAGGCAGGCGAAGTATTTGCCATTAGGCCCACGCGCTCCATTTCTCTAGCACTGTGTCTGGATCTTGAGTGTGAAATGTCCAGCCGCGAGGGAGAAGGCGATTTAGATACTCTTTGAAAGAATCTCTTTTGAGGAGAAACTTCGAGCTGATTCGTCGGTTTTCGACGCCCGACGCGTCCGCCCTCGTGTACCGTTCGGTAACAGGGATGGTGTATAGTGGCCTTGTGCACCTTCCTTTCGAGTAGTCTTCGTTACTCGACCATCTACTTGAGATTCTGCCTTCCCAGCCGATCCAGGGCCAGCTTGGGAGGAGTGTATGCGACCTGCTCGCAGACGACAACCCGGACGACTTTCGTCTAGTCAGAGCCTAGCACCAGCCTGCCCAGTTCAAACCTGTTTCGAAATACATCTCTGGGACAACGCAGAGGAACCCATCTTCATACTTCTGACTGAGCATGGAGAGAAGACCAAGGAGTGGTAGGGCGTCCTCTTCCTCTGTGGAAGAGTCGGTGGTTATATTCAAGCAATACGTACTGGAAGGCTCTGAGAGAATCATACGTGAGGGTTATGGCATCCATCAACTGCATCCAAACTTCGACTCCGTACCTTCGACGTGCACGATATCTTCGTTCCATGCGCAGCGACTGCATTCTCCAAGATCGAAGTCGTAGGGGTCCCAGAAAGGAATATAGAAACTACACATAAGGCGCTGGCAGACTTCGCAGTTCGGAGGCATGTTTTGGTAGGAGGTTTTGATGGATTCTTTCTCGGATTTGGGGCGGTGTCCAAAGAGAGGATACCCTCCCTTGTTGCGGCTCGCTTTGCCATGAGGAATGTATTGCAATGTCACGCAATTTGAACAATAATAGGAAGAAATTGAAAGAGGGGTCTATTTCCTGAAAAGAGGAAATGTCAATAGCCTCAAACCTGAACAGTGCAAGATAATGAGGGGTTACTGTGCCGTGGTTGCCTCACTGCTCGCAAGGCTGGGTAAATTCGTCCCTGGTGAGGCGCCGAACATGGGGGCTGGTGGATCGATTCTGCCCTGTGTTAGGGCCTGGGTCCGCATCTTATAGTGATTGCTTGCCCTATAAATTGTCGTTCCACCTGTTTACCGAGAGAGGTGCGGCCACGGGAGAACGCAGTGTTAATTCGTCACCGACACTTCAAAAGTTCAACCCCTTCTCGAGAAAAAATAAACCACACGAAAATAAATGTGGATATTTGGTAAGATTTGCCGCAGTTACCACGTTGTTTATGATTGTAGGCAAGCTACCGCTATTGATTTAGGTCCTTAAACTGTTCTGGATCATGCACATTTAGATCACGTGCCCTCAAACGAAGACACCTTTTCAAACATCCGGTCAGAGAGAACATATATCACACTCGTTCGATTCTACATAAGCACGTAGCATAGCCTTCAGCTTCCTAATACAGGGAGAAAATAAGGCACCTCACTCATTATATATACTGTTCTGCAGACTTGATTCAAAACATTTACCAGGGAAGCTATTCCAAAACTTCCCTTCTATCAGATGCACTCCGGGGTCTAATCCTCACCCTCTTTCATACTAGAAACGCTGACCAGAGGCGGTCCTAAGAAACCGGTTAGTATAAAGAGGGAAATGAGGCTTTCAAAAAGAGGGGCTGCCTACTTCGGAAATTGGGAATCTCTGGCTCTGTTTCCTTTGGACTCGTGTTTCTCACAGCATCTTCTGTCCCAGGTGGAACATTGGGGGTAGAATTGAGAGCAGCCTGCACTTTGGCGGTCGCATTGTCACCTGTGGCCAAGGTGCGAGGGTATGGGTCATCTGGTGCTGGAGGTATTCTCGTGTAATCTGCTAGATTGTGCGGAGGGACTGGCCTGGCTACTTTCATGTTCACAAATTTTTGTATGAGGCTGCCACTTGGTGGTGGTGGGAATTGGTTGTTCTCGGGATAGTATGATCCTCCTGAGGCGTGTGGGGGGGATGGGGAGTAGTTCTCATCATGATAATTCCTTTCGTAGTACCTTGAAGACGATTCTTCTTCTTCATAGCCTAGATCGTAATGTCAGTTTCTAGAGCTACGAAACAAGGATTCATAAGATGCTAAAACATCACATTTGGTCAATTTCCTTGGCCCACATCAGTTTATAACCAATTTTGACGAGCATTTTGTCAAAGTGGTTTAGCTGGTAATGCAGTCGAGAATGAAATGAGACCCTTGGACTTACGCATTCGTTCCCTTTCACGGCTGGATTCCTTCTCATTTTTTCGCTTTTCATATCGCTCCATCGAGTCTGAGGCTGTTGGAGGATAGTCTTTACTATCATCTGAAATGTGAAGATGCCCGTTCTCTTTCTCCAGCTTGTTGCGCTTCATGAATTCTCGAATATTTCTCGACGGCGTTGGGAACGCTCTCGCTTCATCTAGTAACAACTCTGCTTCATGCTTTGAGTGGGAAAGAGCGCGTAGTACCATTCTCTTCGCCCACAGCCAAGTGGGGTGAAGTCCGAAATCGCCCTTGATAGATAAAATCTCTTCACGAAGAGTATCGCGGGACACTTTGTCATGACAAATGAGGTATCTGGAGAGGCAGGTTTTTAGCAAGGGCCGATTGTCGTTCTGTATTGTCTTTTGCAAGTTGATCAGATCGTCGAAAAGGTCCGCCGGTTCTTCAGCCTGGAGGATTAACTGCGACAAACACATTGCTTCAGTTTCCAAATCCCCTAGTTGTCGGGCAGCTTTCAAAGCCGTTTGTAGAGTTTCATTTGATTTAGATGGACGGCGCAGGAGATGCCAGTCGGGAGTCTCTAAAGCTGCTGGGACATAGATAGGGAGTTCCCCGCCTCTAGTTCTCCCAGGAAATAGACCAGGAAGATCTGATAGTTCGCTCGAAGAGTCCATATCTCGGTAGTTTGCTACTGCGACTTTTGCCAAGATCCATCGGATGTACTGCCGAGACTTCAAATTACTGGGGTGGTATCGTATGATATTGGATGCAAGGATTCCAGCTTCATCTACCCATAGTTTTGTACCTGGAAATGTTCTTGGGTTCAAAATCCGTCTGAGAGCTACGGAGGTCAAAATGTCAAGAAGTGCAAGGTTTGTAGATTCGTCGTGGATCGTCGTCGACCAATCAAGTAGAATCCTGTCGAGAGCGACCTCAGAGCTTCCGAAAAACTTCTCAAATGCCCGTGTAGAACCATACGAATACACTGCCCCGATGAGAATGTCTCTAAAGTCCCAAATTCGGCCTTCGCGAAGCAACTCTTCATATATTGTCGTCAAAATTGACGTTTCAATAGAAAGTTTGTCCTGGTGCAGCCTTGCCTCGATGTGCAATGCGAGACTGACTATTTGACACTGCATGGATTGTTAGATCACGCAAAGAAATTCCAAATCAGTGTTATCCGCACCTCAGTAGATCCCAACTGTGATTCGGCGTCGTCCACAGCATCATCTTTAAGGCTAGCCTCGTCTCTTTTGGCCTGCAGTTGCTCAAATTTAACCCTGGCCTTCTGAAATGTATTCGTTGAAGTCGCTTCCTCGGCAGCGAGTGGTGCATCCTCTTCTGACAAACCCTCTGTATGCAAGGCGGTGAACACTTTAATAAGTTCCCAATTTATTTGGAGCTGGAGGTGTTTGGAATGTTCTAGGTTGTATGGTGCTTTGAGTCCCTTGAGAAGTGACGAATTAGTACTGCAAAGATCGGAGGAAAGTATAAAACAGCTACGAGCTTGGGAGATATCTTGGAGCTCAGATACAGGAACAAAGATGACGCGGTGACTCTGGAGGGAGCTCTGAAACCCTTGTCTCTCATACAATAGATAGCAAATTACGCATGGGAACGCCTTACCTCCACACCCTGGTAATCTCCCATCGACATCAACATCTGAGCGTATTGGACAAATATATAAGGATCGTCTATGTGCTGCTCAAGATTGTCTTGAAAGAACTGTTTGGCGCCTTGAAAGTTTCCCAGTCTAGCCAGTCGACAGAACTCATCCAGGTCGGGTTCAAGATCCTCCGTAATATCGAGTTCAAGGTGCAAGGTAACATCTTTGGTTCGGGAAACGTCCCATACCACTTCATCAACCTCGCGAGATCGGATATTAGTTTGTTCGACTGGTGGCGGTGTCGGCGCTGCCCTGTGTGGCGGTGCTGGAAGGGGCTCTATGTACCTTGGACCTTGGGGTGGAGGGCCATCAACATGTGCGCGGCTGCTACTGCTGTTGACTTCGGGCATCATGTCGACAATACCTCTGACGTTCGAAAGAGCTGTTTGATAGGATAGATGGTCTTGCAGTCATGATCCCAATTGAAAATGACGCTGAGGATGAAAGATGTGGTGAAAGGTTTGTGGATCCTTTTTGGAGGTGGTGTTAAAGAATGAGCAAGGATGCATCGCCTGTACTGCTTCACTGTAACTGGCCAATTGTCATGCATCTACAGGGGCATCGTCTGTAAGGCTCTCCTCCGGGCTGCTCGGTCCTTGGCAACGCGGGACAGCACAGCCCCAGCTGAAAACCACCTACCCCGCAGTCCTCAAACATCTTGGAATCAAATTCTCTTGACAACACCTGTCATGGAAGTTCAACAAGCGCGGCCCATCTTGAAGCGCGGCATGCGCAGGAGTCGCAAGTTTGGACGTTATGATTTCGAACGATTCGAACGATTTGACCATCGCTCATCACACGCAAGTATAGGCCATGCGACCTTCGACAAAGTCGAAGTGGACTGCAAGTTCCTCTTCAAAAAGTCGCAATGGCATACTCGGAGAGCACAAGAATCTAGCAGGAATTATCTACCTTGATCTCAGCTTTCGCCAACCGAAAGACTGTCGACTCCACTCTGCCACGGTGAGCGTCACGTTGGATGATGAGGACAAAGAGTTGCGAGAGCTGGGCCCCAAGCTTCGCCGAAGGGGAAGCGACTCTCAGTGCCCGATCCAAATGACTGACTGCTACGGGCCTAAGGGATTCGCTGGCCCAGAAAGGACAGTCCTCAGAAAAAGGTCGTTGCATCTTGCCCCAACGGGCCAGTTTATGGGCTACGGATTTGGTGGACTGGGCGTTGAGACAGAATCTTCATCTACGTACTCGAGTAGGTGGAGGTTCTCTGGACATTTGCTTCCAGGCAAAGGCAACGGCTGGGCTTATAAGACACTGAAATGGGATCTGGTAGAGAATGACCTGGAGGACCAGTCAATGCACAGCAACGAGGTCCATACAGCGTTCACTTTCGAACACAGTGGCCAGCCTTTCTTAATGCGTGTTGAGATCCAAGGCAAGCTCAAAAAGCTCCAGGGGAGAGTGAAAGACAAACTCATGAAGTTTCCATCAACCGCGAAGAAGGAAGACGGTTCCATGGTGACTCTCATCAACTTTGGCGAACGCTTCTCGTTCAAGACGCCCCTCGATGAACGAGCTCGCGAGCTCGAGTTTGAGATGGAAATGGCGAATCTGCATGCCATTCCAATGGAGGTATCGGACCCCAAATCGGTGATTTTCCAAAATATCACCTCGAATTCTGGACTCTCGAACACTTCGAACACCACAGCTCCTTCGGCCTCTTACAACCAACAACAAAGCACGATATCCAGTAGTTCACTTCAACCACAACTGCCGACTTCAAAACAGCCACCTTCTTTGCCGAGGGCAGAAAGTCCTACAGTCCAAGAAACCCCTGATCCTATGCTCGTTAACTTGGCTCAGGCTTTCGTGGATCTCCATACCTTAGATGAACTGCAGTGTCCTCAAATCGATAACGGAAACTTTTCTCCAACGACAAGTCTTGCCCAGGATGAAAAAGAAAGTAGTGAAACAAATGAACAACAGCCAGTGCCTAAAGAAGCCCACCAAGAATACTCCGATCAACAGATGCTCCTTCTCCTAATGAGAATGCCTGCCTTTCTCGCATTTCTACGAGTGCTGGTCGGTTTGCTGGGACTTCTGGGCCAGACACCATTGCCAACACCATCGCCGAGTACGGTAGGTGGTGAGGTGGATGAAACAAAACGCCTTCGTCCTGGTAGTAAGGCAGCCGATGAGTCCGAAGCTTTCACGAGCACGAGGCGGATATTTTTACCTGGGGAGCGAGACGATCCCGACTGCGAACATGGGAATGGGGATACGTTACTGAAGGGGCTGAATCGTCAAGGAGGACAGGAAGCAGTGAGAAGGACATAAATTGAAACGAGGTGGGCGCTGACGTTGAGAACATCGTTTGATACCCCCACTCCCCTCCCCCCGCGTCGATTGGTGGTATCGATTGGGGGTCAGGGTGTTACCCTCGTTAACGACTTGTAATTGGCTACTTAAGCTCTTTAAAGATCTTAAGTTAGATTTTTTAATATAAATATAAACCAGTATATTATAAGGCTTATAATATAATTACGTGCTTCCTAACTTATAACGGAAGTATTTCTCTATATGCTACTTAATTAAGTTCTAGTTTCTAGGCCCTATAAGACACTATAAATTAGGGGCTTATAGGGCTCTCATGTCCAGTTTTAGGGACTTATTCGCTAAATTTCTAGGCTTTCTTACGCTTACCTTTAGGCTATAAAATGTGAAATTTTTAACATTTTTAATTTAAAGAGCTATTACTAATCCAAAGTTTATAAAAAGTTTATATTTGAATAGCCCTTAATTATCGCTATAAATAAATGAAGCAAGGATTAAATTATATTAATTCCTTATAAAGTCAAATTAAACTAAAGAGAAAGCAAGATTTTTGGTGTTCCTGTCCGAGCGCCTCTACTTTGGGTTAGTGGCCCCCAATCGACACCCCAATCGACACCCAGGGGTGTCGTTTTGGTCTCTCCCCAGAGGGAAGATATACTTCACAATTCGAAACTCGAAGATGATCAATGCTTAACTAGCGTAAACGGTCCGCTTAGATTTTGCAATGGAGAGTAGGAGGAACTCGGGATCAAGGGCGTGACTGTGTCTGGCTGTGGGCGTAATTGACAGTTGATGACACACTTCGCGAACCGCTCGGACGGTGAAGGGGCTGCACTTGCTTAATATTGTGCTTACGAGGTTAGGGCGTTAGAAGGTCCGTGCTGAGCCTCAGGCTAGCCTTACCCTCGTTACCTCCTTTCTTCGTTAGAAAGACCCTTTGATCCACAAAACATTGAAATAATTGGTCATCTAGCAAGTGCTGTTACGATTATATATATGGCTAAAAGTCACCAAATTCCTTGATTTCTTTTCACTTCCTTCGTGGTCTTCTTCCTCATTTCTATCTCATTGTTCGAAGTGTTGATCAAGCAATCTCCTCCCCTTCAACAAATGTCCTCCAACATGGTGTCTCTCGCAGCCCTGTGAGCCTCGAATGCACAAGAACCAAGAGACCGCATCCTATACGAGCTGAAAGCGTTGATCCCAGAAGGCTCACATACATACCGAAAAGCGGACGTCGTCTCGTCAAAGTCGTAGATGAAGTGTGTCGGGAAATCGAGAGCAAGGAGGCGGCCGTCGATGTATTGTGTCTGAGTCCAGGACTGTTGCAGATGTATACCAGTGAGTCCGGCGATTGCTGAACTCTACGAGTAGATTGGCTGACCACAAATATCCAGAAACATCAGAAGACGTCCACCTTGCTGTGGCACTCGCCCACTACCACCGCACCTGCATCGTCGTCAACCTCTTGCCCCTCCTGCAGAACGCTACCTCCCTCCAGCGAGCGATATTCAAGGGTGGAAAGTTTGAAGTGGAGTTTATTCTATGGATAGAATGGAGAAAGTTATTGGTTGAAGACGGAGGAGATGGTAGCAATATTAAGGAAGGAGTGGGCCTTGGAGAAGGTGTGGGATGATCTGGAGACCGAGTGGAAGAGGATTGCTGGGGCAGTGGTGGACTAGTTTGAGTGGTATTAGCCCCTCCAACGCCGTCTCTCACGTTGTGTCACGTTCAGGGACGTTTATGAAATGTGGACGATGCATGATTTAGTGTTGTGTTGAGAGCGTGATGGCCAGTAGCTACCTACCCTCGCTACCGCAGAGTTCATGTGAACCACTGTTTTCTGACCTTTAATAGCCAAACAAATGCCATGTTGAATGCATCTGTTCTAGGTAAGGACACATTCCGCTCCTCTCTTCTTCCCCCATGTAAGATCTTAGTTCTCAGAATCATAAGTGCGGGTAATAAGTGCAGCCCTTCACTTCCGATGCTTCTCGCAAACATCCTTGGTTGGTGGATTCTTGAGGAGCCTGCTCTTGAGCAATGCCATGATGTCTGAGAGATATTTAGGATGGGATGCGGCAGATTCCGACCACTGCCTCATACGGTCTTCGCAACAACAATCAAACGCCTCATATGTGTCCACGGCTACCCTCACAAGTGTCTCTCGCAATTCACAGGGCTCCGAGGTGTTTTCGTAAAGGTATTGTGCTGCGGCAGGTGGGATCATTTTCTTGCCCAGAGAAAGATTTGACAAGTGATCAAAGTAGTTGGTTTTGACATGCCTCGAAAGATTTGGACAGCCCAGCTTGTCTGCGAGAACCCAGGTTCGACACCATGCCATACTGACAGCTTCCGGGTCTCCTAGCTTGTTGATATCGTCTGCTCTTGCCCATCCTTGAAGGATGTGATTGAGACTGTACCCAAATGCGACTGGATCATCCTCCGGAAGCTCTAAAACCTTCTCGTTACCCTCTCGGAAACCGCCTTGGAATGTTGACTTGAAAAATTTGACTCGGTCGCAGAGAGCTTCTTCTGGAAGAACCCACAGACGCCTTTGCGATCCAACGTAAATGCGAACCATCGGTGGACCGGCCAGGTTGTCGGTCTTGAAGTACCTGGCAATGATGAGTTCCAAATCGTACTTTGACACAGTGCAATGGGATGTGCTTACTCGCCGATCAGCTTTGGCTTCTTCTTTTCTTCGGGTAACTCCATCTTAAGTGTTTTGCTAAGGAGCGTAGATGCGAGAGGTGACGAAGGTGATGGGTTATTTAGAAGCGTTTGGTTGAATATACAGATTCCTGAAAACACTCCAAATTTGTAAATTTCCCAAAGATGAGTTTCTTCATCTTCAAAATTTAGGAGGAATTCACTTCCTAGGCTTGAGGACCAACGTTTCCAATGCCAGGAGATTTGATGTGTATAATTCATTGTTCTAGACCACTTGTAGATAAGTCAAGTTTTCCCAAGCTTCCTCCTTCCATAATAAGAGGGAGCTCATCGGAAGCGTCCTTCATTCAACGAGTGCCAGAATTCCCAAGCTCCTGTCCTCTATAAGAGGTTTAATGTGCTGACGCATTGCCAGAAAGCCAGAGATGGTCTGCCGCGCCGCATCGATCCATCATCGGCTGTATTCCCATAAAAGAAATTTGCTGCGGCAGAAGAAACCAGAGGGAAATCTTGATCCGATTTCCGACGCTTGCTTATCTCTATCCAGAATTCCGAATCGTAGCTGTACCGGCATCTCAAAGGTGAGAGCAACCCATTTTATCCGTCAAGACCTAGATCTTGCATCACAAGAGCTGTCGATCCTCATGACTATCGCCAAATTCGCTTGCCTGCGGGTCGTCGATTCTGAATATTGTATCGAGGATATAGGCGAAAGAAGTTGAGTCGTCTTCAGGGAGCTCGAGGATCTTCTCCTTGCTCTCTTGTAGACCACTCCGGAATACCGACTTAAAGAAGTCGACTCGATCGCAAAGAAGCTGCTCTGGCAACACCCACAGCTTGTGGTCCGGGCCAACGGAGATTTTGACCATGTATGCCTCTTTGAAGAACACTCTTGTATTAGTCGATCTCCAACCCAAAGCCAATATATTGTCAGAGGAGACCGACAGCAGAGCTTGCTTTGATGACTAATTCAGCCAACATGGTGAGGGCGTTGACTAGAGCGGGGCCAGCAGGCTACAAAATAAACAGGTTTCAGCCTCCCATTATGTGACTGAACTCAATTCTGCAACAAGCTGTCCCAGAGAAGTTTTATGTCTCCTTGAAAGTAAGATGTCGAAGTCTAGCTTTGCACAACGGTTGCACAATGAAGGTCGTGCTCGGAGTCTTTGTCTGTTTGGCGGGTGCCAAAATTGATCCTGATATGTTGAGCTGAGAGAAAAATCTACTATTCACTGTTCCAGTCTCGCTCTTTGCTGGTAACAGAATGAATAGTAGTCCGAGGCTGATAGCTTTGATGTGACCTTTGTGGAAGTGAGAAGGCCGAGGTTAGGGTGGGCGAGGCGAGTGTGGCTGCCCGCTTTCTGGGGATAATTTGCCGGAATGTGTGCACATTCAGCCTAACTTCCTTCCATTATATTTTCATTACTGCTCAAACGTATGACCAGCGGCCATCTCCTACATCAGGGAAAGAGGTCACTATAGAACAAAAAAACCTTCCATTTCAGGGGAAGCTTCTCGCTAAATTTAGCGAACTTTAGCGGGGGATGCCCAACCATGTTCAGGGGCTGAGGAAGGTACCTCGAATTTTAGATGAATGCTGCGCTCTCGACATACTCGTACTTCTTTCGAACGCCTGCCGGCTCATAGGAAGGCAACCTTTCGCTGGCGGAAACGGCGGCTACCTTAACGTGCGAGCTGGCCTCCGGTTCGGCGCACTGGCGCAGTGATAAATGAGCGGTTGGGGAGGAGGGAGTGGATAGAAAGTACAAAGACGAAATTATTTGAAGAGAAATTCGGCAATGAGCGATATTTTTCGGGATAAACATATGGGGAACCAGTGATGCACTGGATTGTTATTAAAAATCGTTCAGGAACATCAGACTTGGGGATATATGACTGACAAAGCCTTAATTCCCGGCCCTGCTCTCATCCAAGACCTGCCTGGAACTACTATCTTTTTCCTCTGATATAACGACCTTTTCCTTTCCGACACCAAACCCATCCCCACCCGCGCCGGCAGCCTTCTCAGCATCCTCCTTACCTCCACTCTCCTCATCCCCTCCCTTAGACTTCCCGTGCTCCTCCTTCCAAAACTCTTTCCTGATATGCTTCCCCATCGCCAACCCAATCAGATCAAACGGATCCACCATGGCAATAACAAAGAACCGCAAATCCTCATACCCGGGCCCGGTAATCTCTGTGACTCCATCCTCAGACAGGTAAACTCTACTATCTCTCGGCAAGTGTTCCATCGGGTGACGGACATTCCAGAGGACCGAGTTAGTGAGCATGAGAAGTGCTTCGAAGACCCAGAAGAAGGCTTCGTATTTGATGAGTGGCGAGGCGGAAGAGGGGTCCATGTCGGGTTTGTAGATAAATATCGTGACGCTGTAATACTCCACTGTTCTATATATTGCACGGATCCCGATGAGCACGGAGGAGGCGTAGAGCGTGATTAGCACGTCTTTTATAGGTTTTGGGAAAGGACCTTTTTTATGACAGTTGTAGTGGAACCAGCAGATTAGAGAGACGAAGCCGAAGAGCATGACAAGCTGGATGACGAGCGAGGCTTTGAGGAACGCGAGGCCCATGCGTTGTTTGCCGGGCGAGACTTTGATGTTGGCCCAGTAGCTGACGCCGTTGCCGTTGAATGTCTCTACAATGGCGGAGATGCCGCCGAGGGTGGTAAGGATGCGACCTGGGTGCAAGGGGGAGTGGTAAGGGACGTAGTAGAGGAGGCGGCTGAGGATTTGGTAGTTGCACATTTCGTAAAGGGGGCTAGCTTGTGTCAGTTGAAGTTCAAGGGAAGTTCGACTTGTGGAAAGGGGGACCTACGGCACTGAGTAGATTATCGTCATCGATGCAATGTAGATGTTGACATTGTTGTACTTGAATGCTCCGACTTCACGGAGGATGTAGCCAGCGCCAATAGTAAGGGCGCACCAGGGAAGCATAACTGTGATCTTCCAGGACTTGTACCGGCTGTCCGCGAGGTTAGAAAATGGTTTGGAGAGTTTAAGGTGTGCTTACGAAGTTTGGCGCACGTGGAAGACAAAGGAGATGAGAAAAAGGATCCCGAACAAGATTGGAGCTGCCTTGTTCGGAGCATAGTAGTAAAGACTCCCCTCGACTGAACAGCATCAGCATCCAGGAACGTGGAAGCCATAGATAGACGTTTCGCACCATATTGGCTTCCCACCGCTGAGGTGTGGACGCCTCGTTTGATGTCAGCCATTGGTCGAACCTTCCCCCAAAGTCCCGCAACAACCTCGTCGCATCCACTCAAGCCACCTGAGATCGCTCTTGCGCTGCTGCGCGCCCTTATCGTAAATCTCCTCAGGGGTTTGCCAGCATGGATAAAGAGGAGGTAGTTGGGATCAAGACAAATAGAATCTTGAAAGGCGTTGAAATTCTGAGACAAAGGCTGAGGGTTGAGATGCGCTGCGCGAGACGCGCAGCGCGGGGGTGGCAGCATATATCAAGAAATTAGCTCGTTCCACGGAAGGTAATACGGATGAACTTTCCAGAAGATTATGCTTCGGAACTCCCCGCACACAGCTGTGGGGTGTCTCGATTCGCTGGAGATGTAATTTTCGTGATGCCGTGGCTGAAGGATTTCCATCCCATTGGGCTGGGAATCCTTTGAAGTGCAGGGCATGTTAGCGAGTGCAAGAACCCTCAGTACCTTTAAATAGCCTTACGCCCAACCAACGTCTGACACAAACTCTGCCCAGATAATGTATGTACTACGTATTTAATCCTTGAGTTCCACTAACGACTCAAGGGTGCTTCTACGGCACGCTCCGTACCGCTCCGTACCGAACTCAATACTCGTATTGCTTTGTTTCGTTTGCACGTTCTCGATCCCTGCCGCCAGAGGCAGGCATGTTAAAGATTTGGTTTATTAAGTACAGTGAGTTGCTCTACAAATACTGCTCTTATCAACGAGGAAAATGTTAGAAACATCGGGAAGTCATAAATTCATTTCTTAAATTCATTCTAAGCCTACTCGGCGTTCTGATGGGGAAGGAGACTGCCCAATCGAGACGCCTCGCTTGTCAGAAGCTATTGAGCTTATTTTAACCCCCTGACCTGAACTGAACTGCTCCTTTTTCTCCATCAATTTCCTCCATTGCAAACAACTCAAAACACACCTCTGTCCATCAACTTCTCATCACCGCTGTCAGTTGAACCACGAAACAACATCCAATTAATTCGTCATGGGTATCGGCAAGGGTTTACCGCTGAGTTGCTTCGGCCCTTGACCAAATCCACATCCTGGCGTGCGGAGATGGCCCCAAAAGTTTAACCCCAATAGGGTTCCTCTCAGCCCTGTTGCTCTGCCGCAGCACCAGCACTCAGCGCCGGGAGAACAAGTTTAAAAAGTCAAAAGGACCTCTCCATCCCGACTTTATATCAATTCTCGTCCGTGCGTCCAGGAGGCGATACTGTGACAGCTATATGGGTTCTCAGTGTGAGGATTGCCCTCCTGGGGAGACTGGGCGGCCGGACCATGAAGCAGCGGTGCACTCTGGCCGAGACTTGATTGAGCACCACCTTCAATGACGACAAAGGGAAGAAGAATGGAAGCATGGACGGTGCATTCGCCATTGCTGGCCTGGTTGGCCTGGCTGGGCTCGTGCCCCAAACCATACTTCAGATTCGCACCATTTGCGAGGAATACTCGACCGCGAAGGACGAGATCGATTGGGTGCAGAAGCCTGCAGGAAGCGAGTTGGTGAACTGAATTAAACAGCGTTATGGTGTTTTCCGTGCCATTGAGAGATGTGAGGACGTTGTGAATGGCAAAGTCTATTCACGAATAATGGAGTATCGGTGCATTGGGATAAAGCAGTGTATTGAAAGCTTGGCTAAAAATATATATAAAAGTTATTAAGAGTGGAATAACGGATTTATGAGGAAAGGTTAACGCTGCGGGGATGGTAAGGATAGGAAAGGAGAGGAGGGGGGAAGGAAAGGAATGGAATGAAAATGAGAGTGGTAATGTCGAATATAAATGAAAGGAAACACTACTAAAGAGTAGAAGCAAGTCAAGAGGAAGTCCAGCGACGATGAAGCTGCGTGACCATGAAGCCAAGCAGCGATGGGGCGAAGCAACGGCAAAATTAGACAACGACCCAGTTAAGCAACAACCTACTCGAGTAATGATAAGGGAAGGTAACCCGGAAGGAAAGTAAGAAGGAAATCAGATGTGCCGAAGCCAAACCACGGACAGCCAAAGCTTTATAGAGGCCAAGTCATCAAATCAAATCACGACGAAGTCAAGGCACAGATTTTTTGAAGCAAGTCTTTAATTGATCAGACTGCCTTGATTGCTCAAGTTCCAACCGCCCTATTCATGCAACCATGTCCCAAGCCATCCTCCTCATTGCCATCCCTTGCTCAACAATGTCCCAGTCCATGTCCCCCATTGTTCTCAACTCTCTCCCGATACTCTTGCTCTTGTGTGCCCGTTGCTTGCGAGGAAGATATTTGTTTGAAGAACGAATCTGATTTGCATCCAAGTGCCGCACGAAGCAGGCCCCTGGATGCACACTCGAGTTAGTGATCAAATTGAAAACAAAAGGAGTAGGAACTCACAGAGCCAAGTCAGAACCAATTACCAAAGGTGAGGAAGTCGACTGTCGCGATGGATGAGGATGAGATGTTTGACAAGTCGAGGTTGTGTGAGATGAAGATGGAGGTTGATTGGCTTGCGTGGAGGTTGATTGGCTTGCGTGGAGGTTGGTTGACTTGCGTGGAGGTTTGGTAATGAGGATGATTTGGGCAAGGTTCAACTCGGGACTGACAAAAGTACAGGATGCTGATGTTATCGAGAATCGGAGACTGTTGAAGTTGGAGGAGAAAAGAGAGCGAGCGTGATATCTGGTAACGTCAGGAAACTGGTTGAGGTGAAGGTTTGAGAATGACTCACCGGAGTTTGCAATTTCGTTATAGTCAAGCTTCAGAATTTGTTGGGAGACAGGTGATGTCACTTTAAGAGAGGAGATATTGATCTGGGAGAGGAGGGGCAGTGGTGATCTGGGATTGTCAGCAACCGATTTTGAGGGGAGCTTGGAGAAAGACTCACAGAAGGACACCCGTCTCGCCATTCCGTGAGGAAGAACAGTGTTTGCATGTCGGTTAAGAAGTTGAAGAGCTTTGAACTCTCATCCATGATCAAAAAAGAATGCCAGCCAAAGCTCCGCACCACACGCGAGAGCCCAGAATGGTTTTACGACCGTCCACAATCGGATCGTGCCGTGCTTTCAGAACTCGACCGTCCACAATCGGATCGTGCCAAGTTCCGCAGAGTTGACCGTCCACAATCGGATCGTGCCAACCCCATCCAGCGCCATCCCGAACCCCCGCAGCAGCACTTCACTCGGACCAGAAGACTTCTTCAATCGTGGTTTGGAGAACGTACATGAACGTTGAAAGAAGTTCGAAGTTGAGGAATGAAATGGACTTGTGCTCTGAGACATCTTCTGTCTGAGCAAAAGAGTTAGCCAAAAGTTGAAGAAAAGTTGTGTGTTGATGGAAAATGACGCGGTAAGTGTCAAGTCAGGAAAAGGAAGGGGACTGTTTTGATGACGCGGGGCACGTGACTCAATTCCAAAACCACCTCACTTTTGAGACTTTTCAGAAGTGAATGAAATCAGGCCATAAATCTGACATCACAGGTTTCGCACTGTAAAGGTTTTGCGTAGAAACGCGTCTGAGGACTCGAAACTGTCGAGATATCTGGAATTCGCAAGTTTGCTGCCCAAACCGCGCGAAAAACATGTTTGGAATCTGGTGGTTTGGGGGTTGCGGTTGAAGTTGAAGTTGCAAAGCAAAGAAGGGAATATGAGGTCAGATGTAAATAGATGAGGTTGAATGCAAGTCGCGATGCCCTTGGCACCAGTGATGAGGCAAGAAAAACGCGCAGAAGAAGGAATTCGAGTCTTAGCTGGATGATCGCTTACCTTGATTGATGCTCAGGATGTACTTAAAGGCTCTTGAGACCTTGAGTTGATGTTGAAGTAAAGCGCTGGTGGTGTGATAAAGACCCAATGTGGTGGACATGGAAGAAAAGGTTGTGTAGGAAGGAAGAAGGAAGTTGCCGAAGGAGAGAGGGAAGGGCTTCTTTTAAGCTTGAGCTAGGGGGCCAGTCTCGCTTACCGTTGAACCGCAGCGCATGCCTTGCTGTCGAAAAATCACCTGATTTGCGTCATAAGCAAGGGTACCTTAAGATTAAGCTTAATGACAAGGCTGGCACAGAGCGAGGAGGACGAGGGGAAGCAAAGTTTCTTCCATCAGAAAGAGAAAAGGCTAACGGCAGATGCTTCTATGTTAAGTTTTGCTCAAAAGCTAACAAATAAGGTGCTGAATTACATAGTCCTGCTTCAGGTATGCAAGGCAAAAGTCTGCTGTCGAAAATATGGTCCCCCTTTCCATTACCCCTATCCACGTCACCATGTTAACACTTCAATGGATCTCGGGAAAATGAGGACCGTATGACTCATATTATGATTCAAATCAAGGCTTCATGACCTTGTGATCAATATTCTACCCTTTACTTGAAGCAAAAATGATGCAACAAGAGCATCATGGCCGACAGTGCTCCTTGATGTGCTAGTATCACGTGATAGAAGAGCTGGCAGCCGTCACTTTCAAACCATAGACCACGGATTATGATTTTCGAGAAATCAGTTAATAAGAATGATGCAATGATACAATTTACACTTCGAGTGCCTAATGTTACTGCTATATACTCGATTTTCAGGAATATGTGCTATACCGTGCTCGTCGACTGGAAATCAGCATGTGAAACGATATATGCCGTGGAGGGCAGCAAAACGCGACACATCGAGAACCACAGAGAAATAAGTGAACTTAGAATAGTCTCTTCAATTAGAACAGGCACCTTGATAAAGGTAGTAGTGGTCCTTAGCAAAGTTGTCCACGGACAAGATTGTGAGCCGCTCCGGTGCACCAAGGCTCCACGCCTTTTCAGTATATACAAGCAACAACTGTCAACAACTGACGCCCCCCACAGAGCAGTATCTCTCTATCTCTATCATTGTCTCTTTAGAACAGCCTTCTCGCCATCACCGGACTAGCAACAGCAACAGCGGTCCCACCAAGGATCATTCCCCAGCGAGCGTGCACCATTCCCATCATCACCTCATTTAGCTCTTTCATCGCAGCTTTTTCGTTGATCCTAGGAAATGACTCATTCGGGATGGGAACATCGAGGATCTTACATAATGGCTCCCAGCCATCTTTGACGTCGAAGAAGTGCAATCTCTCCGATGGGACGATACGCTTCAGCCAGTCGAAAATACAATAAGATTTAGATCTTAGGCCGTAATAAAATAAGATCTTCTGCCATTGCTTGGCCTATTCAACCATTGAAAAATAACGGTAATTACTGTTCACGCAGTTCATTTCTAACAGTTAAGATATGCTATTATAAAAACAGCATGTCCCATATCTTAGATTCCCCAACACCTCATTCCAAACCTGCTCCTTCGCATTCAATTCCCATTACTCACTTAACTAATTCCATCGTCGAGACTAGCACAATCAGCATCATTCGCGTAGAATACTTCGATAGATAGATAATGGGCAGGACTTACACTCTTCCTCGTCCTCTTCCTCGTCGAGCAGGCCGGCAGATTTCTTGGTGTCCACCGTAACCATAATGGTCTGCGCGAAGGAGGGCACGCCGTCCCGGTCCATGACGAAGAGCATCCACGGGCCGGGGATCAGGATGCCCGGGTCGGTGGGTAGGCGCGCGGTGTAGGAGTTGGTGAACCACAGGCGGGACAGGGTAAGCGGGACGCGGCGCTGGTCGGTGTTGACGGTGTGCGAGGTGCTGCAGAGGCGGACGAGCGAGGCGGAGGCGATCTTGGCCGCGGTCGCGAAGGCGATGGTGCCGCCCACGCGTGCGCTCCTGGGCGGGTTCTTGGCGAAGCGCGGGCGCGGGCGGGGCTCGCCGCGCGCGGTCAGGAGGTAGGGCGGAGTGAAGATCTGGCCGTCGTAGTGGTTGGCGGAGCAGTTGCCGCAGAGGCCGCCGCCGGCGGTCAGGACGCGAGCGTCGGGGAGGAGGATGGAGAGGTGGTGGTAGACGCGGGCGAAATTGCTCTGCTGCAGCTGCGTGAAGGTGTTGGTGACCGGGTCGTAGAGCTCGGGGACAAACTGCACGTGCTCCTCGTTGAAGGCGATGCCGAAGGTCTGGCCGCCCACGATGAAGACCTTTCCGTCCGGCAGCACGGTGGAGGTGTGGAAGACGCGCTCCGAGTGCATCGTCCCGTTCTTCCCTGCGAGTTCGACCTTGGCTATCTCGCCTGGCTCGCCCAGCGTGATGATATGGGCGTTGGCCGTAGCCCAGGAGCTCTCGTAGTCGGGGGACCCGCCGACGGTTAGGATCTTGCCCTTGACGGCATCGAACATGACGGCGTTGCCGGACATCGAGTCGTCGTCGTCCATGCGCTTCCCGCCCTTCTTGACATCGCCGGATCCTGCGGCGTAGTACCAGTTCATGGCCACACTGGGGCCGGCCTGGAAGATGGACAGGTTCTTCCATCCAAACAGCCAGCCGTGGTTATCAGCTCGCCACGCGCCCTCCATATCGTCCGTCAACATGGGCTTCACTTTGGCGCCGGGCAGCATGGTCCAGTTTCTGGCAGCGGGATCGTACACTTCGCCATCCTTGGGTATGTTCGAGCCCCCAGCCCACGAGCCACCGATCACGAACACACGTCCGTCGGAGAGGGTGGTTGTCGACTGGTATCCGCGTCGAAGATGCATCGCAGGGCCTTCGAACCACTGATCTTCCTCAGAATCATAGAGACTGGTCACCGTAGCATCGTTGCCCCCCGTTACAATCAACATGCCCGTACCGTCAATGGCAATCCCTGGACAAAACATGTCGTGGTGCGTATTGGTCACAACACGCTGGGAAATCTCCCTTGTAAGGGGATTCCACTGCGACATGGCCGTCTGCCCACCCGGCGTGGAGTGGAACTGATCCGAAGCCCACGACGACCAGACCACAACGCGGCCGGACGGTTCCTGGGCACCGGCCACGGGGATCACGGGGAAGTCGACCGTGGGGCCCCAGGCGCCGCGGGCCGGGTCCTGCGGGATCGTGTACGTGGTTGCGTAGATATTGAGCTCGGAGATGCCGACCCACGACTTGCGCGGCTCGTCTGCGCCCCGGGTGGTGAGCTTGAGGTACCGGGCCGGGACCGGGTCGAAGATGGACATGCGCTGCCGGGTCGACTCGGGCCACATGCCGTATGCGATGGGGCCTCTCCATTTCTTCCCGTCGTCGCTGACGTGGACCTCGTGGTGGGTGATCAGGCCGTCGAGCCCGGTGTTGATGGGCGGCAGGATGACGATGGCGTTCATCGAGTGTGGGATTTTCAGGTCGATCGTGATGCTGTGCTCCTCTTGCCCGGTGTCGCTGCGCCAGTCCGTGGTGTTCTTGCCGTCGATGACCTTGTTGCATTCGTATCCGCGCTGGCTGCTGCTGCACGACAGACTCCAGTTCTCGCGGGGGACGCGGTGGCCGTTCAGGGGCGGGGATTCATTGCTGAAAGACGGTTCCCACGTAGGAACATCGTGATAGGCATAGCCAGAGACACGCTCGCCGTTCATGGCCTGCTGCAGATAGTGACCGGTAGCATTGGCAACCACAGCGCCCGTGGCGACTCCGAGGAGCAGTTGAGCGTAGGGAGGCTTCATTTGGGTGGGTGGGTTTCTTTCTTTCTTCTTCGAAGCAAGAGGTAAACGAGGGGAGTGAAAAGCTATATAGAGCAGCGAGTCGAAGAGGGACGCGCGAGTAGAGGTAGAGAGACTCGTCTTCACGTCTCACGGCTACTTAATGCTTAACAGCAGAAAGGTCCCTGCGGACCTCATACCGGTGTACATGTTATGATCCATATCATCACATCTCCGCGACGACAGCAAGAGGATGCCCTGCAGCAAGACTCGGAGCTTGCCTTTGTGGCATGCTCCATTGCGCTGCGTTACCTGACGCCACGTTCCATCAGAGCTGCTGAATGTCGATCATGTATCGCATCAATTATTGCAAGGCCCTTTAGTATACAGTGAAAACTCGCTGCAAGGATACTCAATATAAGGATACATCTGCTGGCCCCGCAGGGATTAATTTTGCTGTGTGCCACCCCTCGTTATAAGGATACCTCGGTATATCCTTGGGTTTTGGGGACAATTTCAGTATCCTTATATCGAGGTTTCACTGTAGTTGTTTTGTCTTGTTTTTCCATCTAGGCGCCCGGAGATGGCCTCCTCTCCCCCCCCCGCGCGCGACTCGGCTGGCGATCATTCATAGCGTCCGCCCCGACTCAGGACGAATAGGGAGGCCCGGAGCGGATTCCCCGAGCACTTGTCCGGTGCAGGTGGTGCGGGCCGGATCACCAGGATACAGCTGAGGTCGGCTAATTGCTCCAAAATTCTCAGACCCTACGTAAGGGAGGGAGTGTATATCGACAATGAAACATGAGAGGGTTCATTGGGTAGTGATTGCCGGCCAATTGCCGGCAATTTGTTTGCATTACCTTCTTCGGACGGATCTACATCTCATCGTGAGTTGAGATATCTGGTTTCAGCGGATTCATGCGTGTGAGGGGCGCCATCACAATACTCGCAGGTCTCACAGAGCTGCTTCCATTTTCCCCCCACTCGAGCTCGCGCCCGTAGAAAAACATACAGGACAGCGGGCGTAGACATTATTAAGACTGTGCACTGTCCCAGCTCAGAAAGGGCAAGGCACATTCATACGTTTGAGCGTGATCTCGAGCGGTCTCCCATTGTACTAGAAATTGCAATCTTTCAGGATTCGACTTCCCAATATCGCCATGACTTCGTTGATCCGGAAGGCGAATATCCAGGGCGACATCTGGTGATCCCCTTCCAGTGAACCATGCGAGTAGCTCTCATATTTGCTAACGTGCATCACCAGGCCCGGTCTGCCCAAGCGGTTCCAAACCTTCCTGTTTTTCCGCATCAGGAAGCCCGAGCAATTCAAGGTGCAGCTCAAGGCTTTCGTGCCCGAGATCACCACGGCGGAGACCGCTGCGGCGTGGAAGGATGCGAAGCGGAGGGAAAAACAGTTGTACCCCAAGGATCTCATGCCTAGCAACCTGCTGCCCAAGACGGGAGTCAATATCTCCTTTTCTTCGACCGGGCTGGCAGCGGTAAGTCGTAACCCCGATTGATAGCCATTGCAAATATACCGAACAGATGCTAATACCCAACCGATAGTTGGGCAAGTTCGTCTCTTTTTCTGACGAACGCACTGTCAAGAAGGACAAGCAGATGTCTGCAATCTTCAGAAAGCGCCAGCTGCGCGGAGGGTTGTTCTCAATCGGGATGTACACGGATCTCGTGGACGAGGGCTGGGATGACCCGCGGGACTTGCGCGAGGAATACAAGCCCTACGGCGAGAATAAAGAGCGCCTGATCGACGGGGTGATCCTGGTGACGTCGAACATCGAGCAGGATATGGTCGAGAAGGTCAACCGGGTGAAGGAACACTTCCTGAAAGAGTCTGATATCGATGAGGACACTTATGTTCTGAGTAACGATCCAGTCGTTGAGTTCCCGCTGATTCGAGAGGGTTCTACGCGCCCTGGGGGAAAAGAACAGTGAGCACTTCTCGCTGCTTATAATTGCGGTTGTTACGGTTTAACCCCTCTCTTCAGCTTTGGATTCAAGGATGGCATCAGTCAGCCGAAGATTGAGGGACTGGATGACTTGCCCAAGGATAAGGAACCAAGAGCTGTCAAGCCAGGGTAAGGAATACTTCTGAAATCCTTTGATATATGAATTATAGGCTTACTGGTTCTTCTCCTGGGTTTTAGAATGATATTTTCCGGACACGAGGGCGACGAGATGGGTCAACCGGACTGGGCAACTGATGGCAGTTTTATGGTTATCCGCGATCTGCAGCAACTCGTTCCTGAGTTCGACAAGTAAGATTTCCCTTTCCTGCGTATTCTGAGCGGGATATGCTTATATAGACCCTCATCAGATTCCTAGAAGACAATACCCACAAAACGCCGTTCGCCGCAAGCTCCAAGGACCCGAAGGAGAAGCTGGCCGCATATCTCATGGGCCGATGGAAGAACGGTATGTTTCCAACCACCCCTTCGTTGCATGCCTGTCTTCCTGTATCTTTACTTATTAACAAACCCCACCGCCAGGAACCCCCGTTGACATGAGCCCGCACGACGACAAGGAAGGCGAATGCGAGTACCACGGGTCGAACAACTTCGACTTCCACCCAACCAACAAGCACGATAAGTGCCCGTTCGGGGCGCACATCCGCAAGATGCGGCCCCGCGGGGATCTCGAACACGACCACGCCGTCATCATCCGCCGCGGCATCTCGTACGGCAGCGAGGTGACGCCCGAGGAGCAGGCCGCGCGCAAATCCAGCGACCAGCACGAGCGCGGGCTCATCTTCGTGTGCTACCAGAGCGACATCCGCAACGGCTACACTTTCTTGACCACCCGTAAGAACCCCCCTCTCTCAAATCCCACACCGTGAACGCATCTCCTAATGATCTCCAGGCTGGGCCAGCAACAACCACTTCCCCGACAAGAAGACCAAGTACGTCGGCGAGCACGGCCCGGGCCTCGACGCCATCGTGGGCCAGCGCCTCGCCCACCACCCTCCGCGCACCCTCGGGCTGCCGGACGGGAACGAGCCCAGCGAGGCGCGCATCGAGCTCGAGAACTGGGTCATCCATCGCGGCGGCGAGTATTTCTTCTCGCCTTCCATCGAGGCGTTGCAAGATTACCTCACGGATCCTCATGATTACCCTGAATTGCAGGGACGGACCTAAACGCGGCGGAGGGTGGGGTGCGCTGTAAGAGGGGTGGGGTGGGGTGGGGTGGGGTGTCTGTTTGGTAGACGAATATATATATTTTGAAAGAGAGAGAGAGAGGTTTTCCTGGTGACTTACTCGTATCTATCCCAAAACTCCTGCGCATCGGTATCTCATCCGTATTCTCTCCCCATATCTTCTTTCCCCTCTCTACGATCCCAGACTTCGATCCCTTTACTCTCGCCTATGCAATGCAAAAGTACCACATCTTTCAAAACTATCAGTTTCCCTCGAGAACAGCCCGATATTGATCGTCTTCGTTATATCGATCTTATTAACCTCGATCTGCGCCTGGGAGAAAGATCTTAATCTCCAGCATCACATCATATCATATCGCATCGCAAAACATCATCTCGCACTACAATCCAACACAATATAATAGAATCTTCTGCCTACCTGCCTACCGTCCCTAAATCAAAACCCTGCTCACCAAACACATAAAAACTTCAACTCATTTAAGTAAAACCAATCTCCGAGTAAATAAATACACCAGCCGTATTTCGCACGCTATTCATGATTCTCGCGGGTATGTTCAAGGGGGAGTAACAGACAGACAAATCACCACACGACTCAGGAACACGGACTGACTAGATCAAACCCGCATATGCGCAATGGAGAAACCTGAGACGGACGGGATATCCGCTTGACCGCCAGTTCGATTGCGGGTTGATCGCGGTCTGAAGCTGGGCGGTCTGGGGGATTGTTGTCTTGTTTGATATACTTAGTGGGCCAGCGCGGAGTGAGTTCACTGGTGTTGTTGATACGAGTGCGAGGTCTGGTATGGTGATCACAGGCATGTGGATTTGAATAAGATACCAAATTATGCACGAGCCGGTGGCTTGAAGTGCATGCATGCATCCATGCATGAATCGAAGTAAATAAATTTCGTCCCGCATTAGTGGCGAGAAATGTTGGCTGCAGCTGCAGCTGTGCGGTGGGATTCTTTTTTGGGTGTGTTGGGAATGGGTTAAATACTTACTGGATCTTTTTCACGGGCGCTGGGGAATGAGTTAACTGTGAACGTTAGACGTCAAAATCTTTTCCAAACTCGCTATCATATAAGAAGAGAACTCTTTGTTTGAAATCCCCTAGGATCCAGATATGACGAAGGTACGCAGTCCTGTTTCTTCTCCCCCGTCTCATCCCTTTGTTCTGTATATTATACGATAAGGTACTGACCAAAACCCGAAGCAAATCACCACCATCCTCTTCGACTGCGACAACACGCTCGTGCTCTCCGAGACGCTCGCCTTCGAAGCCTGCGCAGACCTCACAAACGAGATCCTCGCCCGCCAGAACGTCTCCCAGCACTTCACCGGCCCGCAGCTCCAGGCCGAGTTCGTGGGGCAGAGTTTCCAGGATATGGTACGTAGCAAGCAAACAAGCAAGCGGACGATGATAGCAGCAGCAGCAGCAGCAGCAGAGTGAATCAATCCGCAGAAAAGCAAACAAAAACAAACAAGAACAAATCGCTAATATAATATGACTAACGCGCGCAGATGAAATCCCTCGCCGCGAAATACGACTTTAAAACCCCCCTCTCCGCCGCCGCGCTGCAGCACTACGCCAGCATGGAAGACGACCTTGTGATCGCCAAGCTGGCGCAGAAGCTCACCCCCTGCGACGGCGCGAACGACGTGCTGGCGGAGCTGGTGCGGGCCCGGAGATTCCACCTCGCGGTCGTCTCGGGGTCTGCGCTGCGCCGCGTGCGGGTGTCGCTGGAGAAGACGGGCCAGAGCGGGTTTTTTGATAGCGACGAGGTGTTCAGCGCGTCGTGCTCGCTGGAAATGCCCGTGTCGAAGCCGGATCCTGCGATCTATCGGCATGCGGTGCGGGCGCTGGGGCGGGTGCCGCGGGAGTGTGTTGCGGTGGAGGATAGTAGGTCTGGGGTGCTGGCGGCGCGGGGGGCGGGGATTCTGGTGGTTGGGTATACGGGGTGTTATGGGGAGGGGGAGGAGAGGGAGGAGATGGGGAGGGTGCTTGTGGAGGCCGGGTGTGCGGTGGTGATGGAGCATTGGAGGGAGTTTGCGGGGTGTTTGGAGGGGATTCAGAGGATGGTTGAAGAGGCGTAGATTAAGAGACAGAGAGTTTGCGGGGATGTGAGTGAGTGACGATGGTGTTTTTGTTTACTTGGTGGGAACGAGCGCAGTGGTTAATAGGAATCATTCTGAAATCGAAAGACAGTTCATGTGTATACACGGTCTGAGGCTCGTATTACTAACTCGACACCGATTCCAATACGAACTCAATACGAACTCAATACGAACTCAATACGAACTCAATACAAACTCAATACGAACTCAATACAAACTCAATACGAACTCAATACCGACTGCAACATTAACTATCCCTCGTCCGCTGAGACATTACTAGCGTATCAGCCACAGCTGTGGCACCCAATAAAATTCCTGAAGCCATATAATTTTATGTCCCGCCAGCCAAGCCAGAGCCCCCTGCCCACGCTAGTAATGTCTCACCGGACGAAGGGATAAACTCAATCTGACTCAACAATAACCGCAACATCAACTATCAACGAACTCAATATCGACTCAACACTTACCACAACCAGTAACCAGCAACACACATCCCCCCGAGTCCGCCCGATCCGTCGTTGATCAGCACCGCAACAAGCAACTGGCATGGAATGTCAGGTCACCACAAAACCACATTCACGCGCGGCGTCTCAGGCTCGCCTGAAATGTAGGAGCGGTGAACTCAATCACCTCAACCACACCGCCCGTGAATCAAACCACGACGCCACATTTTAGGGAGCAGGACGATGAATGAATGAATGTATACCGTAGAAAGCAAGACATGGGCTGTGTATCCCTTCGTCCGGTGAGACATGTCCAGCGCCAGGCATTACAGCTAAAATCATCAGGCAGGTACGTACCGCTTAGCTTTGATGCCTGGCGCTGGACATGTCTCACCGGACGAAAGGATAGTATGTCGTCGATAAGATAATATCGTATTCTCAATTAGCTACCTTAGTGTATTGTGTCATCACCTCAACCCAATTCCACCTCCGCACGCATACAGCCTAGCCAGCTAGCGTCGCTCGAGTAGACTAGACTAGCACGAACCCGGCCCGGAGCGAAATGTTCTGCATACGGTAGAGTACGATCGCCCGCGAGCCGGAACAGACAAATGCACGAACGCATGCACGTCCCCTCGGCAGATCTGGCGCCAGTGAGTAGCGTCGCTCGAGTCGACTAGACTAGCACGAACCCGGTTCGGAGCGAAATGTTCTGCATACGGGACGATCGCCCGTGGGCCGGAACAGACAAATGCACGAACGCACGCACGTCCCCCCGGCAGATCTGGCGCCAGTGAGTAGCGGGGCTCGGGTAGACTAGACTAGTACAAAGAGCGAAATGTTCTGCATACGGGACGATCGCCCGGGGGCCGGAACAGACAAATGCACGAACGCACGCACGTCCCCTGGGCAGATCTCCATTGTCCCACAACTCCGAGGACAGCGACTTCAGCTCTGCTATGGCCGAGTCTGAAGAGACCGCGTCATCATCACCTCTTCCTCCACCACAACAAGTGCCCGCCCAAGGCGGAGCAATACCACCTCCCGTCGCCGCTCCCTCTTCTACTCCCACTCCCGCTCCTATCGCCATGGACATCGCCGGTCCAGTACTATCACACATCGCCGAAATCACCTCGCATGCAGAAGAGACAGTCAGATCGATTACCCACGACATGGATATGTCCACGGTCGCCTATATCGCACGCCACGGCCTTGGAAATCCACCCAAGTCACTACTAGACCTCTATTATCTGAATAACCTCTTTGTCCATATCATTGAGTTTGCTACCTCTACTACCGTTATCAGATACCTAGACGGTATCGCCTCAGATCGGCTCGAAGCCGCCTGTAACTCTGTAAGGACCACTTTCTTTTATCTAATATCTAGCAGACCAGTATTAGCTTCGCTCCTATCTATTGCGAGAAGTACGCTAGCTTTGTTCCGATCTTTTTGCTCTGTTTAGATAATAACAAGTTATTATCTGATATCTTAATATAGTGGTATTAGTTTCGCTCTGGTCTTTTTTCTTTTAGTCTGGACTCTTGAGAACTGGAATAGCTTTAAGCTAGTTATTCTGCTTTCGCATGGGATAATTACTTATTCTGCCTCCCTTTATCTCTGATATCTGGCGGATTAGCATTAGTTCTGATCTAATCTTAGTAGTAATACTACTTATTTCGTCCCTATATTTTTTTGTGACTTCAGATAAGAAGAAATCGTTATTTGGCTTCGCTCTCATGTCCTTGCCTAGTTCAGATAGGGAGGGAGCTACTGAGATATTCTTCTCTCCAATCGTTCCATTTTTTCTCATACACTTGATATTTGAACCATTTTTGCCTGTGTACTTCATCTACCTCGGCAGTGCTTTCAAACTTCTTGTCCAGTGAGGAGAAGGAAGGGATCGCCAGCCAACTGCCCAAATCACTTAGTTACCCAAGCAAAATTTTTGAAATTTTTGAAAGGGTTTAGAAAATTCAGAAAATCTGTGAAATGACTAACGCGAGGTAGTAGATCACGAATATTAACTTATTTTCTTCATTTTGGGATGTGGTTGTGGTGTGGTTATAGTAAAAATACGTTTTGGGCGGTTGAGCGGTTGGCTGGTGAACCCTTCTAGCGGGGCTCGGGTAAGAAAGTAAATATTTTGAACGAGGTAAAATTAAATAATCAGACCCGTTGCTGCTAGCTAACAAATACTACTATTCCGTAAGGTTAAGGTTCCTAACTGCTTCGATGCCCCCCGTTTTTTTGGTTTTCAAGCCTCCCTCGAGCCAGCGTTTACATTTGCAGCCACCGCAAAATCAACTCCGCTCCCTCGCACAGCACAGCACAGCAGAATTTCCTGCAGCCTACGCCGCAGGGAAGATCTGCAGCTCCGCAAACACACTGTCCACTGCGCGCCCGGCGCGGACCACGATCTCCTCGGCGTCCGCGCTAGTAATGGTGTACGGCGGCGCGAGGAGGAAGTGGTCGCCTGTCGTTCCGCCGGCGCAGCCCTGCGCCGAGAAGAGGCACACGTCGTAGCCCTTCTCAAGGCCGCGCATACGGAAGCGGCGCGCGATGTTGAGCTTAGGGTCGAAGGGGGTCTTGGTCGCTTTGTCGGCGACGAACTCGATGGACCAGAAGAGGCCGCGGCCTGGGAGGGGGGAGTTAGTTAGTTTTTGATAAAGTTTCGAGACGCGAGAGAGAAAGGTAAGGAGGGGAATAAGGGAGAGCTGTAGGGTTGCTTGTTGTTTGTTTATTTACCTCTGACATCGCCGACGTGAGGGTGGCTCAGGAATCTCTTCTTCAGTAGCGCCCCGAACAGCTCGCCCATCTTGTGCGCGTTCTGGATCAGGCCCTGCTCCTGGATGATTCGCTGCACCTCCAGTGCAGCCACGGCGTCGAGCGGGTGGCACTGGTACGTCTGGCCGTGCTCAAACGTCGCGGTGCCCGCGCGCATTCCCTCGATGACCCCCTGGTGCAGCAGCAGTGCCGAGACAGTCCCGTACCCGGCGGCCAGCCCCTTGCCCACGGCGAGGATGTCAGGGACGACGTCGTCGTGCTGCCAGGCGTGCACAGAGCCCGTACGGCCCATGCCGCACATGATTTCGTCGAAGATGATGAGCGCGCCGTGGCGGTGGCAGACGTCTTTCATGGCCTGGAGGTAGCCGGGCAGGGCGACGACGCAGCCGAGAGCCTGGAAGACTGTGTCAGTGATGATGTCCCAGGAGGCAATCAATAAATATGTATAGCAGCTGGAGAACTTACCGTGCCAACCATGGGCTCGACGACAAACGCACACACGGTGTGGGGGCCCAGTCTCTGGAACTCATCTTCCAGTTCTTGTGCGAGCCGGGCGACATACTCCTCGGTGGTCTCGCCGTCGCGCAGGTCGCGGTACGGGTGGCACGGCGAGACGTGCGTGACGTTGTTGTGCAGTATGGAGCGGAAGATTTCTTTCCTGGGTGTGAAGTCTCCCAGGGAGAGCGCGGCGAGCGTGCAGCCGTGCCAGGAGCCCTTTCTCGCGATGAAGTTGAGTCGAGGTGAGTCGGGGGAGAGCTCGAGATGATACTGCCGGGCGAGCTTCATGGCCGCTTCCATTGCCTCGGACCCTGTATGTGACGTTTAGCCATCAATGTTTGTTCTATCGGGTAGGAGAGTAATGAAGTCAGGACTCACCCGAACCGAGGAGACATGCTCTGGACAGCTTCCCCTGTGTGGTTTGGACGAGGAAATCCGCGAGCTCATTGGACGGCGTGTTTTGGAAATAGCCCGGGTGTGCATATTCGACTTTATCCAGCTGCGCCACGATGGCCTCCTTCACACGCTTGTTGCCGTGACCGATGCCCGACACGGCGGCGCCAGACGTCGCATCGAGGACCTTCTGGCCATTCTCCAGTGTCAGGTACAGCCCGGACGCAGACACCACGGTCGGGTGCTTGGTCGTGTAGGCGCTCTGATAGAACAAGGCCGGTTCGCTGGTGGAGATGGAACCCATTGTGAGAAGAAAAGCTTAATGGTGGGATAGATAGAGTGAAAACGAAAAGATACGTGTAGTGTCGATTTCTCCTGAGCTGTGACAAGGACAAAGTACAAGTACAATATAATACAATACGCAGGAGCATCTCCCCCTTTTAACCCATCTGGAATGTCAGGCCTCTGCTAATCAATCCAAGCCAACCTATCTACGGTGTGCTTGCTTGCTTGCCTGCTTGCTTCCAGCACGCACGCCCGCGCAGCCTAGTGTAAACTAGATTTGACTTCCGATATGTCTCTACCTCCCCGAGTCCAAGGGCACAGAAAAGGACATATCGAAACGCACACCTCGTTGCTTGCAGCAGAGAAGCACCGAAACAGCATCAGGCTACATTGCCGCACGTTATCCTTCTACTGGTGCTCGACGAGATTGGGATCCTCTGTGGCGTTTTTAGACATCTTCTCACCACCTGAAAATAATAACTCGCTGGACGAGGTCTCACCTCGGCGGTAGTGATGCGGTGCCGGCTGCATTGCTTTTGGATTTTCTGGGTTGGTTTGATTTCGAATTCGGGGGAAGTTACGCGAGACGGAGGTGTGTGGTGATGTCATTGGGATTTGTGCTCGTCGAATGGGGTTGGAGGATGGCTTGTATACGTATACGTATATGTGTGTATGTGCGTGTGTGAACGCTAGGAAGTTTTTTGTGGCTGTTTTGTTTGTTGTGGGGAAAAAGCACGTAGACAAATGCGGGAACTATTCTATCCCATGCAGTCTAAGAATCAATGCGCCCCTGATCGATGATTGCATCAACTTGTAAACCACTTGTTGCAGTCAGAACACACCTGGGAGAACAAACGCGAGGCATTGGAACAGAAACTAGCTGCTGTAGCCATCAACTCCGCAACACACATGTCATGTATTTTATCCTGTAATGCCGCTCTCTCCTCTCTGACCGAGACTTCCCGCTGCAAGAACGCACGCATGGTATCCCTTCGTCCAGTGAGACATTGCCACATTAGCGGCCACACATAAATATCCCTAATTCGGATTCATAGCTGTCGATTGTTTTACAAGACGCCATTGCAAGGAGGTGGTTTTGGAAATTATAGTACCACCTCTACAGATGGCGGTGATTCGGGATGGACAATTAAATTTAATTGCTACCCCATGAAGAAATAATTTAATTTAATCCTCTTTTGACCATTAAACATTAAATTAAGTGGGTCTTGAGCAGATTTTGAATCTAGCCAATCAGAGGGCTAGAATCTAGTGCATGTGATACACACTTTCTTTGCATTAGTAAAAACACTACTAATATCATTACTATCAATATCACTATGCCTCCTTTAACTAAGGAGAACTGGTCAGATCTTAGTGCCTTTATCGACGAGATACTAGCATCAGATATTACTATGGGTGGGGAGGAATAAAAATATAACTTCATTCTTAATATTATGCCACGTAATTGATATTTCATGAAAAATAATAAATTACTCATAAAATTATACTTTTAATAATGACTTGACCATGATTAAATAATAATAATTTAACCATTGATTATAATTTAATTGATTAAATTTTTGCCATCCCTAGCGGTGAAAATAGCTGATATCAAGTTCCTCTCACGTCTCAGGCATCTGCACGCGAGTCTACAAACGCAAATGCAAAGACATTCAAGAAAAAAAAAGGCAAGTCTGAGTCAGCCGGACGCCACCACAAGAGACGATCAACGTGCATTTCAAAATACCCCAAGAGAGGAAAGACTAAGCCCTGTGAACGCCCCCGAGAAAGCCATCGAGGGTTCTTGTTCCTCATTCTGTCTCGGGCGGTCGTTCTTGGCCTCCTTAGCCACCGCCCAGAGGGCCAAATCAGGGTTGACGGCAGCCCGTCCTGTCTCGCGCAGGAACGGTGAGGGTGAAAATCATGGCCACATCTGTCTGTGTCAGATCATCAGCGCCCGAGACACAGCTGTGTGCCCACGGCGGTTCCCAGAGCCAAAACAACATCAGAGGCCCAGAGTAACGAGACGGTGCTCAGACAGAATAGCTCTCCCGCCATGTCTCTTTTCTCGGTAGATCCAAAATCACGCCCGTGGCATTCTGGATTCTCTCTTTTCTTTTCCTCTTCTTTCCGCAGATGTTTAGAAAAGAGACGCGTTCTTCCCCATTCACTCCTGCTGTCGTATACCCAGAGAGACTTAGAGCTTTATTTCACGCGCCCATACCTTAGCTGCGCTGCGGCCCGCTGCGAGGATGTGCGCAACCAAAACGTCCGGGATGCCTGCAACCGAGGTCACGCCCCTCCTGCGCGGCGGAGGCGGAAGCGGAAGCTCGAGTCTCTGGTCGACGGACGGGGAAGCGCTGAGTTTGACGCCGATTGATCCTCCGGACGATGAGTCTGCGGGCGCCAACAAATGGCGGATTGCAGCGACGTTCTACGGCTTCTTTATCGTGGGTGCGACAGATGGGGCATACGGGGTGAGGAGATTCCGGGCGCTGGTTGTCCTGATTTCGTGAACTCGGCTGACTATTTCGATCTCGTCTCTAGGTTATGATCCATTATGTATGTACAGTATATCCAGCAGCAAATTCAAATCCTGTACGGTGTGTAAGTATAGACGCTGACTGGATATATCCACATACAGCTTCGCAAATACTACCACGCCAACTACCTCACCATCTCCGTCCTCCTGCTCTCCCCCGTCGTGGGCTATACCCTCGCCGCCTTCGCCAACAACGCCATCCACACCCGCTACGGCCAGCGCGGAATCGCCATCATCGGCCCCGGCCTGCATGTTGTCGCATTCCTCGCCGTCGCGCTGCATCCCCCGTACCAGGTCCTCATCCTCGTCTTCGTCCTGGCGGGCCTGGGAAGCGGGCTCGTGGACGCGGGATGGAACGCCTGGATCGGGTCCATGCCTGACAGCAGCGGCATCATGGGCTCGCTGCACAGTTCCTACAGCCTGGGCGCGGCACTGGCGCCCGTCGTTGCAAACGCCGTCATCACCAAGCTGGGCTGGAGGTGGTACGGCTTCTACTACCTGATGGCGCTCGCCTCCGCCGTGGAACTCTGCTCCTCCGCCGCGGCCTTCTTCTCCAAGACAGGTGAGCAGTACCGCTTCCACCACGCAAACCCCTCAGAGCCGGAGATCTTCCACGACCAGCCCATCCTCGAGGACAGCCTGCCCGACAAGAAGCGGCGCAGCCCGGTGGTACAGGCGCTGGGCAACCCCTCGACCTGGCTGATCAGCATCTTCATCTTCCTGTACGCCGGCATCGAGATCTCGCTCGCCGACTGGATCATGACCCTCGCCGTCGACCACCGCGCCCAGACGCCGTTCGCCGGCAGCATGTTGACCTTCGCCTTCTGGGGCGGCCTGACCTCCGGCCGCATCGTCGTCGGCTTCCTGATCCCGCTCATCAGCAGCAGTAAGGGCGTCGTCACCGCCTGCCTGACCGTCACCATCCTCTCCCACCTCGTCTTCACCCTCCGGTCCGACCTCGTCACCTCCGCTTTCGTCGTGCCCCTGCTCGGCTTCTCCCTCGGCCCGTTGTTCCCCGAGGCCGTCATCATGCAGACCAAGCTGGTCGACAGGAGCCTGCACGTCGCGGCGGTCGGCTTTGCGTGCGCCCTGGGGAGTGCGGGCGGCTGCGTGTTTCCCTTCCTGGTCGGCGTGATTGCCAATGCGTATGGCATCCAGATGTTGCTGCCCGTGGTCATGGGGATGCTGTTGCTGTGTTTGACGTGTTGGTGGCTACTTCCGTGTCCGGTTGAGGATGATGCGGATCTCAGAACATGGTAATCAGATAGATGTGTGCAGCTAAAATGTAATTGTAATATTTAATTCAAATGGTATGGTATGGTATTGGTTAACGTCCGGAGGGCATAGATCAAGAGCCTCAGCTTTGCCTATAACCCAAGACCTCTCGAAGGATACTAGGGACATACTAAGCCAAGGATTTTTGTATATAAAGTTCTATGAATAAAAGAGGCCAAAGCCATAAGGGGGAAAAGAGCTCTTTTATCTATAGCCTCGGGTTCCTAATCTTGCAGTATTTTGATATTACTATAAATCTCAGAAAGTAATAAATAAATATTATTATTTTTTCTAGTAAAATAAATTCTCGAATAAATAAAGTTCTTTTATATTTAATATTAAATTCCTTTAATTAAGTAATAATAGTCGGACTTAATGTCGCGACTAAAAGGGGCCCTTCCATTTAGTCGGGGAAAGCGAGTTGGCCTGCAAAGCGAGATGGCCCGTACCAAAATATGTAAATTTGGAATTTGTATGCAACTCCCATAGTAAAAAATCAATTAATTTGTATACTACCAGCCCACAAAATTTGTCCAATTTAACTGCAATGGCTCGCCTGAGTATCCTACGCATAAATGCGCTTCTGTGCGATATACCAGAGAAGGATAAACTTTGTAAGGCTATCTAATTCCTAAAGGAGAACCCAGAAGAGAGTTCTACTACTACTATATGCACATATAATATTAGGAGCAAAGATGCTATATAGAAAGCATAGCGGAGAGAGAGGAAGAGGATAGAGAAGGGGAAAGTATAATAGAAAGGCCAGAATAAGATCCTATATTCTAATTAATATATGGTATTATATATAATTAATAAAGAGAAAGAAGCTATAAAGCAAATAATATATAATTATATAATATAAATATAAATAGAAAATAATAAAATAGCTTTCTTTTAAAAGTAATTCTTTTAATAGCTAAAAAGTATTTTAGAACTTTATATAATTAAAATAAAGTCTATTATTACGTGGCACCAGTCACGTGGTGCCACTGCACGTGACTTAGCATATAGCTAGTGCTTTTAGCCCGGTATATAGCCTTTAGCTCAATTCAAGCTCTTTACTACTACTATAATATTACCTTATTATAATACCTATTATAAACTATTATATTAATTTCTATATTAAATAAAGCCTTTATAATTAGTTTAAGACTAAATATTATTTAGTATTTAAAGAAATTAGTATATATTATAATAATTAAATATATAATATAAATAAAAAAAGAGCTTAAATTTATATATTTATAAAAGAAAAAGTAGTTATTTTAATTAAAATTAAAGAAATATATATTAGAATACTAGAAAATAATATATTTCTTATAATAATTAAATATATATTTATAAATAATGAAATAATTTTATTAATAGTTATTATTTCTAAAATTATAATTAGTTATAAGATTATTATAGTTTCTTATATTAAATATATAAATAAAGGCATTTATATAATTTAATTTAATTATTTTATTAAATATAATAATTATAGTTTTAATAAGAAATAATTTTTTTTAATTAATAAAATAATTTATTACTAAATAAATAATTTTATTTTAAAAGCTATATTTAATAAGATATAAATTATCTAATTCTTCTTTTATTAAACTTACTTATTTTAATTATATAATATTAGTATTTTTAGGAAATAGAAATATTATTAATAAATTAATATTATAAATATAATTTATTTATATAAGCTAAAATATAATATTTAGTATTTCTTTTTATAAGGTATTTATTAGTAGGCAATAAGACAATAGAATGAATTAGTGAATTGTGAAACTATAGTATTAAATTTAGTATAGAACTAATCTCTGTCTCTCCTATAAGGTCCAGGGAAGCCCCCTCTAAATAGGAGGCCCCTGTAACATACATATAATTAGTGATTTATAAGCCTAATACTTATAATATAAATAGTAGTTAGTTGTAATATTAAAGGGCCGCCGATTTCCCTAATTAACACCCGCGACATCCGAGGTTCGTTACATGCCCTTAAGTCACGTGCGACCCTGCACACATCACACTTTTATAATTTTTCTAAAATAAAAAGAAAAAACATTTATTATTTATATAATTAAATATATTTTTTAGAATATTAACATTTAGCTTATTAGTTTTAAAATAATATAAAGAAAACTTAAGAAATATAATAAAAAGAAAAAGAAAAATACTAGTTTTTAATTCTTGAAATTTGATTTTAAATTAGAAACTAAATTAAATATAGAAAATATATAATTTATTATATTTATTTCTATTTATAAATACTAATTATTTATTCTTTTAAAATCTTTTTCTTTATATAATAAATAAGTTTTATAACTTAATAATTTTAATAATAAGATTCTAAATAGTTTAAATTTCAATTTTTTAATAAAAAGTATTTAATTATAATTAAGGCTATTAAGAATTATATAATACTTAGAAGTTTATAAAAGCTAAATACCTAGAATACTTATAAAATATAAATTAAATATTATAAGATTAAGCTAAATATATAACTTAGTTTCTAAAAAGAAAAATAAATAAATATATTTAATATTTTAATAAAAAAGAAAATTAAAATTAAAATAATAATAAAAAATAAACTAAAAAAAATAAAGAAATAGCTTATAAAAACCGAATTAGCTATAAAAAAAGCTTTAAAACGAATTAAAGTTATTATATAAATAATTAAAAGAGAAAAATAATAAAAAATAATAAATAATAAAAAATCTAGAAATATAAACTAGAAAATAAATTCTTGAAATTAATATAATTATTTTTTCTAAGTTTCTAATACTAATTTATAAAAAATAAAATTAATATTATTTAAATTAAATATTAATTATTTTATAATAAAATAGCTAAGAAATTATAATATATATAGGATTATATATAACTTAAGAGCATATAATAAACCTCGGATATTACAAGTATTAATTAGGGAAATTAGAGGCCCTTTGACTTTATAACTAACTATTATTTATATTATAAGTATTAGGCTTATAAATTACTAATTATATATATATTATTAGGGCCTCCTATTTAGAAAGGGCTTTTCTAGACTTTATAGGAGAAATAGAAATTAGTTCTATACTAAATTTAATATTATAGTTTTATAATTAACTAATTTATTCTATTATCTTATTACTTATTAATAAATACCTTATAAGCTAATCTCTCTATCCTTAAAGAAGGTAGTTTAATAAGTAATTATATCTCGAAATCTGCGAAATATATAATTCCTTACTAAAGCTATTCCTATAGAGGAAGTTAACTAGATTAATCCTAATATAAGTAATAGTAAAGGCTCGTCTAATACTTTTAATAGGGCTCTTTAGGAGCCTCCGAGAGCCAGTAATAATAACGGAAATAATTCCGGTAATAATTAAGATACCGAGATTAATACCCGAGTTACTATTACCTAAGCTATAAAATAGGGCTTATATATTAAAGTTAAAGCACTCTAATAAAAGCAAGAATTAGTAAATATAATTAACTAATATATTCTATAGTTAAAGTAATATAAAAGTATTCTTAGAAATATCTTACGATTTACTATATTTTATAAAAACTTTATTTATAAGTCTATCCTATCTTTCTCGGTAATTCCTACTAGAGAACTTCTTAAAATAGAATTAAAACCTACCTTTTTTCCTAATATAATAAGCTTTAAGAGTAATCTTAATACTATTTATTAGGAGCTACTATATAATATCCTAAAGATATATTTGAACTAAGAGAAGCTTTTTAAAGTCTAGATACCTAACTTATATTATAGAAAGTTCTTTAAGAAATAAAGAATATTTATATTTTCCTAGAAAGTAGTTTTTAGAACCTAATCTTAGACTTATAATAAATACTTTTCTAGAATTAACTTTACTATAAGTATCCTTAGGAATAAACCTTATAATACTTAAGAGGCTATAATAAAGTAAAGCCTACTATTATATAAGGTCTATTAGAAGTAATTTAAGGCTTACTTGGCTAATATATTTTAAATACCTTAAATCCGTTAATAAGATATTTTTAAGGAACTCCGAGATCTTTATTAGAAGAATAGTAAGATAGTTACTAAGTTATATACTTAAATAATTAGTCTCAAAGTTAATTAGGACCTATATCCTAAAAGAAACCGGATCCGGACTCTTAATACTATTTTATCTAACTATAAGATTTATTAAATACTTATATTTATTCTCTCAGGAAATAAGATAATATTTATTTCCAAATAGCTTAAGAAAGCTTAGAAAATAGAATATACTATTTATTCTAAATTAAGAAAAATAAAAACAGGAGAATCTAGTAAGAATAACTCTGCTCCTAAAGATCCTAACTTAGTGAATTCTAATTTATGAGGCTATTAAAAAAGAAAGAATAAGTTCTAAAAATTATATAAGAAATTCTTAAGTAATACTTTAGCTTCTTTAAGGCCTTAATAAAGTATTAGTTCTATTTCAGATATAGTTTATTAGACTTATAAATAGAAAGAATATTTCTTAGGAAATATAAAGTATTTTAAGTATACTAAATAAGCTTAGTAGAACCCTAATAAGGCCAAAACTATAGAAGAGTTAAGGTATTTATAAAAGTAGGTTAATACTATAGTTATAGAAAAGTATTCTAGAGGAGATTCTTTTAAGAAATAGAGAAAAAAAAAAGCCAAATCTTAAATATTAATAATTTTAGCTATAATAAAAAAGATATATAACTTTATATAACTATTTAAATAAGTACCTTAGAAATATATAATAGACTTAGTAATACTAGATTAGATTATAACTTCCTTAATAATAATTAGACTTAAAGCCGGGGCTTTATTACCTTAGCTAAATATAACTAAGATTTTATAATCTTTTATAAAAACTAATTTAAGGTCTATTAAGCCTATAATTTTAAAGTATTTATTATAGATAATTATAGTAAGATATATTCTTTTAAGCTCCGGTTTTATAAATATAAGAATATTAGTTCTTATAGCCTTATTTTTAGTATAGAATTTTATAAAATAACTCTTATATAATATATAGACTATATTAAAAAATAATAAGTATATATACTTATATAGCCTAATAATATTAAGATCCTAATACTAAAAGAGTTTAATAAGGAATTTAACTAGTATTCTAAGCTAATACCTCAAGTCTTATTCTTAACTAAAGGCAAATATAACTATTCTAGATAATAGGCTTTATATATTTATAATAGTTACTAGG